CGTTGGGGGTCCCGCCGACTACTCTTCTGCCGGGGGTCCTGCCAACCCTATGTCCTGTGCCGTTGGGGGTCCTGCCGACTACTCTTCTGCCGGGGGTCCTGCCAACTAGTGTTAATTTCGTTGACTAAAACTATGAAGAAATATGTTCGTCAACGACCTTTTTTTCCATGACGAAAACGACACGATGACGAGACGGCACCGACGGCAGTAAATAATAACTGTAACGAAATCATCATGCAATATCGTTGACGAAAAGTGACGAGACGAAAATGTAGTTTACTAAATAAAAACTATGCCAAAATCTCTCTTTACTTTCGTTGACGAAAAATGAGGAGACGAAATATTATCAAAGATAACGTTACATCTCTGATAGTCAGTTTTTCTCCCAGCAGTTCCATTTCCGGTGCTGCGGCAGGGCAGCAGCTGTGTGTCTGTGCTGCGCGCGGCGGTAGATTTGAATTACACCGGGCAGCGGCAAAATATGAACTGTCAGGAAGACTCGGGTCTAACTCATGGTCTAACTAACCTTATTTAACAGAAAATAAAATGGCAACAACAGGGCTTGGGAGCAGTGGTCGCACTCGCGTTAACCGAATACCCCCCCGTCAGCGCGAATGATGGATAAATTGTGCACTCGACGGATAATAATGGATTATGATGGAAATGTTACGATCCTGTCCGTCAAAATTACTGACAACGAAAAAGTCTAAAGCCACCACTGCTTGGGAGAAAGAAACAATGTGATATTTGGGCCCATTTTCGCTACAATGAGGCGGAGAAAAAAAGCGAATGCATTGTTTTATCAGAAGGGAAGCAATGTGGCCACAACACAGCTGGTAAAAACACCACAAACCTGACCAGATACTCTCTGCAAAGCTTCTCAATCATTCAACCTGTGTTTTTCATCAAATAAGGACAAGATATAATCTTATAGTGAAATATGTTTGACTAAAATGACAAATTATTGGTTTTGGCTAGACTAGTTTGACTGAAATGTTCTATATATTCTGATGACTAAAAAAGACTCAACAGTTTTCATTGACAAAAAGTAGACTAAAATAATTAGTTTTCTTTGACTAAAATAAGACTAAAATGCTCAGACTTTTAGTGGACTAAAACTTGACTAAATAAAAACAGGATGAAGGTGACTAAATATGACTAAAACTAAAAAGGAAATTTAACACAGGACTAAGACTAAAACTAAATAAAAAAATAGCTGACGAAATTAACACTACTGCCAACCCTATGTCCTGTGCCGTTGGAGGTCCCGCCGACTACTCTTCTGCCGGGGGTCCTGCCAACCCTATGTCCTGTGCCGTTGGAGGTCCCGCTGACTACTCTTCTGCCGGGGGTCCTGCCAACCCTATGTCTTGTGCCGTTGGAGGTCCCGCCGACTACTCTTCTGCTGGGGGTCCTGCCAACCATATGTCCTGTGCCATTGGAGGTCCAGCCGACACCTGTTCCGCTGAGGGTCCTACCAACTCCATGTCCTGTGTCGTTGGGGGTTCCGCTGAGGGTCCTGCCAACTCCACGTCCAGTGTCGTTGGGGGTTCCGCTGAGGGTCCTGCCAACTCCATGTCCTGTTTCGTTGGGGGTTCCACCGGATTTCCTGCCAACACCTGATCCTGTCCTGTTGGGGGTTCCGCCGACACCTGCTCCGCTGGATTTCCTGCCAACACCAGATTCTGTCCTGTTGGGGGTCCCGCCAACACGTGCTACGCCCAGGGTCCTGCCGACACCAGCGCTTGCTCCGTCGGGGGTCCCACTGACACCGGCCCATGTTCCGTCCAGGGTCCCGTCTACACCTGTCCCGCCAGTGGTCCGAAAATCACCAAAACAAAACAGTACTTAACAGGTAGAACCCTGTCCTAACACGGGGCCCAGCACTGCACGGGCCACACTCAACTCTTTTGACCTATCCATATAGGTGCGCAAAGCACAAACTGGGCACAGCAAATTCGGCCGCTGTTCTTCAGAGGAACATAGCGGTGAAGGAAATGCCTCAAGGTCAATGGGGGTGCATGAACCAACCACCTTGGGCACAAAGGCAGGGTTGGGCTTCAGCAACACTCTCGTTTGCCCCGGGGCAAACTGAGTGCATGAAGGATGTACAGAGAGCGCGTGAATGTCACTGACTCGCTTGGCAGATGCCAGAGCCAGTAACAACACTGTCTTTAGTGACAGGTGTTTTATGTCAGCTTCTTCGGTTCAAATGGAGGTCGAGTGAGCCCATCTAAAACCACTGCCAAGTCCCATAAGGGCACCAGTGACCTGGAAACAGGGAGGAGCCTGCGAGCCCCTTATATTGTTTATATATATCTATGATGATAAGTGCCGTTACAATTCTCTAAATGAAAGGAAAGGAGGTTTCAAACTTCCTTTATAACCTCCTTTAGCTTAGGAACCACTGGACCTCCCTAACCGAAAGGAGAGGAGAAAATGCTGCCCCACAATGCATTGCAGCCGCAGCATTTGCCGTCACTCAACAGTCGGCCGTTCATGGCCGACATAACCGATTATGACCGAGAAATGATATCATGAAAGTTACGGTGCTTATTAAGCATTTTAAAACGTATGTGGTAAGTTGCCAAAGTGCTTTGTTTTGAACGTTCATCAGTATTATAATCAAAGAGAAATATGAACGTTAGTTTTTACTGAAATGATCAAATAAAGTCAACATTTCACTGAGCTGTGTGGGGTTTGTTCAACTTTTAAAAGATGTTTGAATGGTGATATACACAGTGATAGATGTTAAGGACTTACGTTTATAATAAATACATTTGTATTGATATTAAGATATTTTCATAGTTCATACAATCATACGTATTGGGATCATTTGTATTAATGTAGACCGGAGGGAGAGGGTGACGAGCATAAGTTTCACTTTCCTTTTTTATTTCAATTCCAACTTTGGTCATGAAGAATATGTTTCTCTGTTGTCCACGTTCATAAAGCATAAAGCAACAGCATCAGAGCACGGTGCAGAGTCTCTAGATGAGTTTACAGTAGTCCCTCCTTCTTATTAAACATCCATGTTGTAGTCCGCTGTATAGAAAACTGTAGTTTCCATAGTTTCCCCACAGCAGCAGACGCTGGCGCATCATAAACACGTCGGATAGTGAAAGTGCATTCGGATTCTCTAAAGTACCGCAGTCTCTTCTCCTAAGTCCTTTTGAATTCTCCTATCCACTATCCCTTAACCCCGTGACGCTTCACTCAGAGGTCAAGGAATAGGAGATAGGGTTAGACGTTAGGAGCTGATTTTTGGATTATCGGAACGCAACCCTGGATACAGCGTGGGAGGCGGGGCCTCATTAATTCCTATGAGAGTTGCTCAATGCATGGATGTATAATAAGAACTGGATACAGCGTGGGAGGCGGGGCCTCATTCATTCCTATGAGAGTTGCTCAATGGCGCATGATGACAAAATGGCCCAACTTTTGAGAGAGCGAAACGTCACAGATTACCCGGCATGCCTGAGAAGTACCCGTATGTGCACTCATAGAGCATGCGCAACTTTAACCACGCCGCCCAAAAGGCTCGTTCACATTAAGCACGTGAATTTGCTAGCTAGCGGCTAGCTAGTAAATTATGCTAAGTTACACATCAATCGTTATGTACTTTTATATTACGCTGACATCAGGATCTAGTGATATCCAAGCAACAGAGCTTCATTTAGCATGATACTTGTGTGGGTTGTACATGAAACCACTTGGTAATATATAAAAATGTATATGTTGAAGCCTGTTATGATCAATTGTGAGTTAAAACTTTATCTAAAAAGTAAAGCTGATGATGGATTACTGTATTACGCTATTATTTATTTAAAATGACATGCATCCGCTAAGAGAAATAGTCCGTTGTTACTGTTTGAATGTAGCAACGGCAGGAACTGCTTGACCGCTGTCAACCGCTGTCTGTTCTGGATTAACAACGTGTCACGTGTTCTGAATTGACCAATCAGAATCGAGTATTAAACACTATCTGACCATGAATTGAGTTTGATCCTAAAATGGCAGGGAAGAAATGCACAGCTAAGCGAAAATATGAAGACGAACATAGGGAGAGTGGGAGAGTTCATATTTTTTTATCGAACGCAATTGCAAGCCATTTTGCCTTATATGCCAGACAGCATTAACCCATTTCAAGTCTTCAAATCTTCAGCGCCATTTCACCTCACTCCATGCTAACATCGACCATGACTTCCCAAAAGGTACGGAACTTCGCAAGCAGAAGATAAACACCTTGAAAAGTCAGGCAGAAAAGCAGACACAGTTTTTCAAAAAAATAACGAAGCACTCGGAGACCGTAACGCTTGCATCTTATGAAGTTGCTTGGAACATAGCACGAGCTAAAAAGCCGTACAATGAAGGGGAGTTTGTTCAAAAATGCCTCAGTGACGTGGTTGAAATCTTGTCTCCAGAAAACAAAAAACTGAAACAAGCGGTATCAGACGTCCAACTGTTCCGCCACACTGTTGAACGCAGAATATCGGACATTAACACCGCCATTGAAGCGCAGTTACACTCTGATCTTCAAACATGTGAGTTTTTCAGTGTGGCATTGGATGAGTCTTGTGACATACAAGATAAGCCTCAGTTCGCAATATTTGCACGATCAGTCTCAAAGGATTGTGTTATAAAAGAAGAACTCCTTGATATTGTGCCATTAAAAGACAGAACCCGTGGCATCGATGTAAAAGAAACAATGATAAATGTGTTTGTGAAAGCAAATGTGCCCAAGTAGAAACTAACTGCAATAGCCACGGATGGAGCGCCATCAATGGTCGGATCTGTGAACGGGCTTGTGGGGCTGTCACAACCTTAAGGAGAACCCAAATGCAGCACTCGAGAAACTAAGGAGAATTGGTAATAAACTTTATTGGAGATTCCACTGGATCTGAGGAATACCAACCGAGCAGTTTAACGCACCGGAGGACAGCGGGCAGAAGGTGAGTCAGGGACAGGCAGAGAGTCAGGGAGTAAGCGAGGCAGTCAGCGTAGATACAGGCAGGGTCGGATAACAGGCCAGACAGGATAGTCGAGGGACAGGCAGGATCAGGGAACAGGCAGAGCAGGCAGATCGAGGACAGGCAGGGTCGGAACCGGGTAGGCAATCTAGTATCAAACGCGGGAAAGACAAGCACGCGGGAAAGTACAATCTGGCAAAGAGTGTGTGTGTAAGGTGCATGTTTAAATACTGGCAGAAGCTAATGGGTGCAGAAGAGAAAGAGAGTGAGCTAACGAGTGGGTGTGGAAAACAGGTGAGACAGGTGAATGGAAAACTACTGGTGAATGATGGAGCAGACTATGACAGGGGCTGTGCAAAGCTGACAACACATTTCCCGAGTTTTGGAATTTCCACTGCATCATTCACCGGGTGCAACCTGTGTCCAAATCACTGAATTTAGACAACGTCATGAAGCCTGTGATGGAAATCGTAAACTACATCCGCACGCATGCTCTTAACCACAGGCAATTTAAGAATCTCATCGCTGAACTCGACCAAGGGCTTCCAGGAGACCTGCCGCTGCACTGCACTGTGAGGTGGCTTTCTAAAGGCAAAGTGCTGTCTCGCTTCTTTGAGCTGTTGGATGCTGTGAAACTGTTCATGGAACAGAAGGACAAGGATTATCCGGAGCTCTCAGACCCCAAGTGGATTATGGATCTGGCCCTTTTGGTCGACATGCTGTGTCATCTGGACAGACTGAACCTGGATCTGCAAGGAAAGTTAAAAATGCTGCCTGACTTAGTGCAAAGTGTATTTGCGTTTGTTAACAAACTGAAACTGTTTAAGACACATCTTCAAAAGGGAGAATTAGCGCATTTTCCCTCTCTGCTAAAAGCAAACAGCCCGTTATGCAATATTGGTTGAAACCCTGCAGGAAAACGTTGCGACCCGGTTCCATGATCTACATGTGAAAAGGCCACAGATTACGTTCCTCGTCGATCCTTTTTAATGCTGAGACGGACTGTTTGAAAGCCCCGCTAGTCAAGGACGAGGCGGTGGCCGAGTTGGAGATGATCGAACTTTCAGAGGATGACCGACTGAAACCTGTTCTGAGGGAAGGGACCCTTGAGTTCTGGAAAACTGTGCCGATCGAAAAATACCCAAATGTCAAACGGGCTGCGCTCAAGCTACTTTCAATGTTTGGGTCAACATACGTCTGTGAGTCTGTGTTTTCTACCCTGAAACATGTGAAATCCAAGCATCGATCTGTTCTGACTGACACACATGTGAGAGAATTGCTTAGAGTGGCCACAACGGAATACATGCCAGATTTGAGGAGGATTGTTCAAAGCAAGGAATGTCAGAAGTCCCACTAATTTAAAGTAAGATAAAAAACCTTTTCAATTTTGTTTACTGAGAGTTTGTGTGTGAGTGCACACAATGTTCATTGTTATGTTGTTATGTTAACTGGCCTCTGAATACTGGTAGGAGAGGTTTAATTCAATTTCTGTCAATATTATGGTGTGTGCCATTTACAATAAATCTGTCTGAGCAGAGCTATGTGTGTCTCAGAGTGTGTGTGTGTGTGTGTGTGTGTGTGTGTGTGTGTGTGTGTGTGTGTGTGTGTGTATATAAAGTGTATCTGTGAGAGAGAGAGGGGAGGAAGAAAGTGAAGGAGCACAGAGAAAGGCTGAGAATAAAAGAGAGAATGAGGGAGGGGGGGTGCACGTGCATCTGTGACTGTGTGTTTGATGTGGCTCTTTGCAGTAACATAGTCAAAATGTTGGCTCTTAACCTCTGGCCACCCCTGCTCTAGACATTTCCTTACGTCTCATATATAAGGCTGTGGTGGAATAGTTTTGGATAAGGCAAGTTAAATGAATGTTCAACTGTAGATTGTATTTCCCATAAAGAGCCATCTGGTCTGTTTGGCCATCAGTTTATCTTCCCTCATGCTATCTTCTCTGTCTACAGATTCCAGTTTGTGGCAACACTTGCCTAATGTTGTTGACTCAGAAGAAGCCTATCTGCCCACCCGTCTGATTATTTTGATTGTTGGGATTTGTGTAAAGCGCAGTCGATACCTCGTAAGGAAAAGCAAACAAGGACTGTCAATAAATCAGGTTAAGAAATGCACACAAACAGGGAGGTTAAACTGTCAGAGATGGGGGAGTTTAAGGGCGGTTAACTCAGAACATTACAGACGGACCGAGCTGGGTTATGGAGACGGCATGAGATAAAAAATTAACACAGGACTTGGGGGCATGATATGTATGTTCTCCTCCCATTGGCTCAGAACAGGGAGTTCAGGTCCAATGAGTTGGATGAAGGGGGACACGCATATGGCAAACATATCAGTTTTCTAGATCCTAAAATGAAACATAAAATTGATGGTAAACTGGAATAAAAAGCGAGAAAATACAATGGGAGCAAACTACTTATTAGACATGGCCGTTGTGTAAGAACCTGGCAACTGATTATTTTTTACAGAACCGTATCTGCCTTTTAGTGATTACCCCATGAACAATTGTTATTATCACTAAAGCATTTACTGCAGTCATGTTTCTTAATTGCACTCATACATTTTCTTTATCTTCCACTCTTATCTCTGTAGCTGTTTCTGTTTTACCCGCACAATCAGAGCAGATTTGTTTTTCTCGTCAATGATTAATAACCACAGAAATGTGATGATGAAACTCGGTGCTGCTGACTAGGAGTTAAAATGGTTCAAACGGAATATTTCAAGCCTGACTGCAGTTAACCGCAAGGGTATGAGTTTAATCAATTCCTCTTAGCCTCCAAGCCAGAAGTTCAAATACAGACCTTTTGTAAAATGACCTGCTAATACACCTACATATCTAAATAGCATTAAATGTAATCTAGATAAAGTGGTCATGTGCAGAAAATCTCTTAAACCTGATTAAGAGACTTCAAAGTAGCTTTAGCTCCCCTGCGTAGTTAAACATGTTACTTCCTGTTTGAAACTTGCCCCACCAGGGCTGCAGTCAAACAGTTAATAATAACCTCTAAGTATCTAATGGCGCTTTTCCACTGCAGGACCTAGCACGGCTTAGTACGGTATGGTTAGGCCTTGGTAGGCCAGGCTCACTTTATGCTGCGTTTCCATTACAGTTGACCAACTGGGGTAGTAACTGTAGTAACGCAGTGTAGGCGGGGCGATCGTCTGTTTGGCGGGCGGAGCGACGCTGCGTTAAACTGCCATGACGTCATCTTCAATGCGAACCACAAAAACAAAACATCAGCCGTTAGCTGTTAGCACTCAGAGCTCACAGCTCCTCATATCTGTTCAGAAACTAGACAAAAGTTAAACAAGTACAAACCACAGACTGTCTGTGTCATGGTGAATACAGTCGCTGGTTTATTTATGTCTGTAGGCCGTTGTTGTGAGTGTGGACGGAGCATATACAACGTTAGCTTAGCCTGATCGATCTGATCTCCATTCAGAAAACACGCATTTTAAAAGGTTTTTCACCTGCCGTCTGTCTGCAGACCGGTATCAGTATGTTGTTACTTCGGCATCATTTTGAAACGAGCCTCGCAGCGGGGAAACTGAACCTGTGGAGCACATAATTACGCCACATTTGCGTATAAGATTAATTACGCCACATTCGCGCATAGATCGTCCGCAAGATGAGGCCCCCTCAGCAAGGTGAGGCCCCACGCAGTCTGCGTGATCTGCGTGTAGGGAGGGGTGGCCCTGATGGTACCCTTATTATAGGCTTGGACCGGATTTATTTTTTGAATTTTAGAGCGTTGACTTTATCATAGCACTCATTTTCAGTTGTAAATTAAGTTGCTTGAAAAATATCTGTAGCCTAGTGCAGTGTTTTTCAAAGTGGGGGCCCCGACCCCCCAGTGGGCCGCCAGGGGGGTCACGCAAAGTTTGAGGGAAACAGAATTATTTATTTAAAAATAAAAATAATTACATTTTTCTTTTTTTAGATGTTATTAATAACTGTATATCTATCAATCTATGTGTCCTTTGATGCCAATCTTTTAATATTTTTTGTTTTTGAATCACACGGCCGCCCTTCAAGCCAATCAGAATCGAGCTGCCGCTACTGAGAGAGAAAATCTGCTCAGCTATTGGAGCAAGTGAGAGCTAGTGAATATTTCGCTCTGCAGCTGGATGAGAGCACGGATGTAGCAAATGTCGCAGAATTGCTTGCATACATCAGATTTATTTCAGAAGACAACTTTGTTGAGGAAATATTATTTTGCAAAGCACTGGAAGGTAGGACCACACGAAGAGACATTTTCCAAGTTTTAGATGAGTACATCATCTCAAATGGACTTGACTGGTCTCGTTGTGTGGGTGTGTGTTCAGATGGGGCAGTGGGGCTATGACAGGCAAACAAAGCGGAGTGACAGCTTTGATCAGGCAGAAGGCCCCAAATGTAGTGGCAACACACTGCATGCTCCATCGTGAGGCACTTGTACACATCATTTTTTTTTAAAACAGGGGGGTCCCCCGCCAGAGGATAATGCTATATGGGGGTCCTTGGCATGGCAACGTTTGGGAACCCCTGTTAGTCAGAATCTCTTAGCAAAAGACAACAATGATGCTATGTCCTTATTCTTCTATGCATCCTTTGTGGACCGCAATGGAAAACGTCATGAGGGAAATGTGTGTAGGGAAAACACAGTGGACGTCATTCTGTTTTGACTATTCGAACTCTGCTAGAATTCAGTACATTGTAGTAGTACATCTTAGAAAAAACTACCATTAGTCCCAAATAAATGGATTAGCTTTGTATATGACATTAATACCAAATGGTTGTAGTTTATAGTAACATGAAGCCTTTAATGTCACCAGTAGTGAATATGCCTCCTTGTTTGCACTCCGAGAAGACTAATGGATTGCAAACAAAGTGACTTACAGTAAAAGCAAAGGCAGGCTTAAGTCACTAATGCTAAAGCACAGTGTTATATTTGTATAACATTAAAACATCAATCATTTGTGCACACTGTTTTAGCAGTTTGGCATGAACTGCATAAACAAATAACTTATGCAAATTGTATAACCGTAATCTTGTTCCATTTAAAGTATTTTATAAGTGTCTGTGCTTCTTATAAAATCTTATAATATCACTCAGCAGTGTTTTCTGAATTTACCTAGTAAGGTCAGACAGTACATTACCGGTCACACGCAAAACCTTTAAAGCACATCCACATCATTAATGGGTCAGGTGAGATGCATTTCACGTGACATTTCTGCTGCGTCGCAGACGAGATAAAGAACATACGGGCGGGTCCTTGTGCCTGTGCATGTGATGATTTATGTTGTTTCCTGTTTCTTTGTGGAACACATGCTTTTACATTTTTATTTATTTTTTACGCCTTTTGCATTGAGCATTGCACACATTTAGAGATCGAAAGCTGTTCTTTCTGTACTGTATGTTGATCTGGTTGCACCCTAAATGTTTCCAGAGGAGACTATGTAACGCCTTCTGTTGCAGCTGCTGCACAGTTGTGCACACGTAACGTGAAACACGCACAGGCAGACACACCCACATATTTCAAATTTTCGTGACACTATAGCCTCAATTTTGAGAGTGTTAAATGTAATTTGTTATGCAAGATGAACATCTAATTTTGACAGACCTGGAAACACTGTAAATCCGTGCTATGCAGTGTTTTAGTGGCATTCGTGTTGTGTTTTTTATGATATGCTGTTGTTTCTGTCTTTCAGAGAAGCCTTGTTTGTTAAACTTCCATGAGAAAAATCCTCACAATGTAACTGAATTCACCTTGAGGGTGTATAAGATCATCTTTCAATGAGTCATGGCTTCATCCCTTGTAACATGGGAAAGAGTATCTGTTGGAAAGAACAAATCATCCCTATTCTTGTTAGTTACTACTGAAAATTTGAATAAGTAAAAACTGGTCCAAGACATTAAAGGCTCAGTTATTTCCTTAACCAGCTGGACCATTCAAGCTTATTTTTTAATCTATCAAACTCAAAGCATGAATACACAATGCATTTTGAGGGGGGCTTTTTTAAGCCATGGGAATAGCTAAACATATCTCTTAAAGGGCACATAATATTAAAAACTCACTTCATTGCTCTGGACTATTACTGTATGCTCCAAATATCTGGAACAAACTCCCAGAAACCTGCAGGTCCGCTGCAACCCTGACTACTTTTAAACCCAGGCTGAAGACTTTTCTTTTTGTCGCTGCTTTTAATTGAACTATTAATATCTTAGACTGCACTGTAACTTTTATCCATGTATTTTTTCTTTTAATGTTTATTTTATTAGCTTTTCTTTTTAATGACTGATTTTAAATGCCATTCTCTTACTGTTTTTCATTTTTTGTAAAGCACTTGAATTGCCTTGTGTTGAAAAGTGCTATATAAATAAACTTGCCTTGCCTTGGAGGCAGTGGCGGTTCTAGAACATTTGACATGGAGGGGCAAAGGGGGGGCAAGAGGTCATGCCAGGGTGGCATAGGAGGGCGGACAGTACGTGGTATTTTATACTGTATATAACCTATTTATTGTTAATTCATGCCCTAACACAAGTGTTCTTAATGCACAAGAGAAACAAGGTGTTCAGACAAACAATCGGGTGCCCTTCGAGTCCCCCAAGCTTACCTCAACCATTTTAAATGAAAGGAAACTACAAAATGTATTTTAAAGCAATGTAAAATTAAATATATATTTTGTTTAAAAAAAAATTGGTTGTCTTAGACAGACATATTTGCATGTCCTCACTAAGCATTATTACATATTAATTTAATATTAAACAAATCAAAATGGCCAATTATCCCAACATGTTGCTGCTAATATAATCATATGCTTGTCAACTTTAACTGATCAAAAATCAATTCTGAAAAAATACTTATCTATGAAATTACAATATTGTCCCTCAGTTTGTTTCAACCCCGTCACGCCATACCATTTACCCTCCTATTACAATAATGGATCAGTCCATGTGTGATCTGCATTGAGGGAATTACATCACAAAAGTGTCAGTTTCTTCTCTTACCTATATTTCAGTTTTTGTATTTTCAGATTAAGATTGACAAGCTCAACATTTCAACTATGTTGTATGAATTAATAATAGTAAATAATTGTTTATTACAAAAATAAACAATAGTTTTGCAAAATATTACAATTTTGTAATGTCCTTGACTTCCATGTGGTGCCATATCTTAGCTAAACAAGGTCTCATGCCTACTTTTTGTCAAAAACTTCAACCCTGTTACATTTTTTCAAGGAAATTCCTAGTAATTATTTATATTTTGTGCCTGAGGTGGGAACATGTAAGTAGTCCACTACCAGATGTTATGACCAAACATTTTGGTTTCATTTTTCAAAGATATAAAGACCCAAAAGGCACCCGATTCAGAGAATACTCAGAATTCTGCATACTGTAAGTACTTAATTATAATTAAGTACACAAATGACATCACCGCCATCTCTTCAGAGAGCTACAGGTGACCTGTGCAGCAACACATTTTAATCAATATTTGTCAATACTAAGAGCTGCTAGATTGAGCTGCTGTAATGGAATATATAAGGAGAATAAGAACATACCATGTGGTCCAGCTGGAGTTTCATCTGCCTCCTGATCCCTGCCTCTGGCCCTCTTTCTGATACTTCATCTTTATTCCTCACATATATTTCTTCTTCTTCACTAATGTCTTCATCTCCTCCTCTTCCTCCTGGTCTCTTCATCTCCTCCTCTTCCTCCTGCTCTGACCCTCCTGGTCTCTTCAGCTCTCTTTTCCTTTTCCTCTTTCTGTTCGTCCTGATCACTTCTCATGTCTTTTTGTTGTTGTTGAATCACTCCTATACTCTGGCCTGCAAGAGTCTACTTGTGAAAAGCACTGGTACAAATGCTTGTATAACTTTACACGTTAGGGCCATGTAGCCTAGCTAATATGTAGCATATCATAAATATAACATCAGAAAGTATTGATCAAGCGCACACATGCAGCTGTGTTTGGATCCAGTTTTTACGGTAAAGGATGTATCCTGGTTTCATTGATCTGGCCTCATGGCTGTGATGTGTAGTTTACGTGGATTTAATAGGAGGCTACCGCGTAGTTTAACAAAGTGATCGATTTCCCAGCTAACGCTGTCTGCGTAGTATTTTGTAACGTAACGCCCCAAACAGCGCCCGTCTGTTAAACGCTATCGATTCAAACGGCAGCGTTTTATTAATATTTAATTTCAAGCTCTCGTCCTTAGTAAAAACAAAACTAGTGGAAATGGAAATGCTCCCAGGGGAAGCTGATCCATAGGTGCTGGGACAGCTCGCTCCCTCTCTGCAGCGGTGTGAGCCGCGGTCTGTGTGAACGCCGCTCCGCAGTTTAATGCAGGGCCGTAGCTGCGTTTTTAACGGGCCTAAAATGATATTTAAAATGATTCACTTTTAACTAATGTAATGCTTGTTGTGTTGCTTGAGAAGCTTGTGGAAATAGTGTAGGTTTGTTTTAGTACAGTTTTAGGGAAACAAAAATTAGGGGGGCAGCTGGGGGGGCAAGGCTCTACAGTGGGGGGGGGGGGCAGCTGCCCCCCCTTGCCCCCCCGTAGATCCGCTCCTGCTTGGAGGCCTTAAAGAGACAGGCCCCAAAACGGGGCGTTTCCGTCAGAGGGTTAATACAGGCATAATAAGGAAGACAGTATGAGAAAAATAAAGGTTTTTTTCTAACATAAAGCATAAACACATTTTTAGTTGACATCCAATTCACAAGCATGAATTGGAAAATGAGCATGATAAGTCACCTTTAAGGTTAGACAGCATACACCATGAGGTCAGACTTAAAAAAGAAATTATTATTAAGGCTTCCATTTGGTACCAGTTTTGATCCTAGTGCAACATTTTCAGTCCAGTGTACATGGTAGTGTTTCATATCTGCAGTTTGACCTTATGAGAATAAGATGTTCCTTTGGTAAATCAAAGAAAGATAAATTATCTTTTTATCCCAAAAATCACAAATGACACTCATTTGTCTCAGGGGGCTTTACAATCTTTAAAGTATACAACACCCTCTGTCCTGAGACCCTTGCAGCGGACAAGGAAAAACTCCCAAAATCAATGAGGGTAAAAATTGAAGTAACCTCGAGGAGAGCGACAGAGGAAGAATCCCTCTCACAGATGAGCAATAGATGTCGTGTGTACAGAATAGACAACATAATAAAATGACAACATAGAGGATCCAGTCTATGGATTGTGTATGTTGTCTCATTGTGGACAGTGTGCAGACTTTACCAGTGGTCGGTTGGACAGAAATAGGACATGGCACCAGTCTTCTCACACATGCTGAGTCCTCATTGAACCGTGGCTAAACAGGTATGTGGCGTTTTGTTGTACAATGGTCACAGTGGTGTCACTCTCACTTCATACTTCTCACTATCCACATTATATAGCAGAACAGAAAGGAGAAATCCTTCCTTTTCCTTTGCTGTCTGGATTATTTTTGCACTTCCCCTCAAATATCTCCCATTCCTCACCTACTTTATTTTCCTTGTTTCACTATCCATCTCCTCAGCATTTTCCACTCTCTCTTCCCGCCGCTCGCCGTCTGTCTTTGTCATTCACTCCTCCTCACTGACTTGCTCTGTGATATTTGACTCTTGTCTGCGCCTCTATGTGCTGCTATTTTACTGTGGGTCACTGTCAAGAGAAGTATGCATGAAAGAAAAATACACACAAAAACGAAATAATAAGAATTAAATCACGATTGTACACTTTTATTTAATCATGTAATAAGCACAAGAAATAACATTTCTATAAAAGTTGCATGATAGAGCTTATATATACCTGCACTGGGACAGAAACATATGAAGAGCATGAATATATTGAGTGTGAGGATTATATATATAATATGGTTAGTTTATATTATTACATTATACACTAACATACAGTGAGTGTTTGCTGCTTTTCCTCAGGGTTGACTTTTCCACTAGTATTGTAACGACACCTAGTGGATGCAAAGATAATTTCAGCATTTATGGGCTTCCCTAAAGTACACATTTAAAACAATCTGGTTTTAATATACTAGTAGAATTGTATTGGGTACATTTAGATATGAGTTGTTGTATCATTGTGTTTAGTGTGGTCAAATAATTAGGTTTCTTACGAGAAAAAAATCCCATGACCTTCAATTTGAATGAAAAATAATTAAATACATTTAAATGTATTTGCAGTTGACAAATGTTTAAATTGTGGGCATCAACAGTCAATAAGTGGTGCATGGGCCATTCTGTCTCTCACACAGTCAAATGCAAATGGCTACTTAGTTGGCAAATGACTTGGTTTGTGGTCATTAGCAACACACGAGAGAGCCACAGACAACACTGACTGCAGTTTATCCTGACCACTAACCCATGGACATATACATGGAGCAAAGTAAGTGTTGACCTAGTATCCTTACACTCTAATCGCAGAGGTTTTTCTTAAACCAAGTACATTAACAAGCACACAATAATGAGTCACATATTAACAGTGTGGGAAAAAAATCCTCACTCAACAAAAATGAGTCAATATTTTAGCGGCAGTATCACACTCTCAACATTTAGTCTTATAACACACAAACATGCACACGTACACACACACACACCCTGCCATGGCTCAACATTATCCAATAGTTTACGCCTGTTTCCCATGTCCTGATTTACAGACTACAACTAGGTTAAGCTTACTGAAATCTTCACCTTTTTTTACTGAATTATTGGTGGCTTCTTGTTCTCGTCTTCCTCCTCCACCTGTGTGTCTGGGTTTTCTCCCTCTGCACTGCCAGACTCTTCCTCTGGCTTCTGACCACCCCAGCGCATTCTGCAGTGCGTGTTGAGCCGCTCCAGGATGTCGATGGAGTGGTTGATGAGGAGGGCGAGCCAGGCCAGGCCAAAGAAGATCCAGGAGGCCATGAGGACGCTGTACCAATCTGGGTACACTTTGTCCGGATTACTGTCTGGAAAGGAAACACTCAATTAACCCTCCTGCATCCCTGTTAAAATAAATTGCTTTTTTTTTTGATGATGATGATGATGATGATGATGCTGGTTAAACTTTCAGCAATTACATTTTTAACCAACATCATCCAAATATTCATTCATCTTTAGAATTTTTACTTTTTGATTGCCAGTTTGTTTATCATAATACCAATATTTTTCAAAGTCTTAGAAATAAGCCAAGTTGGTTACTGATTTATTATAGGAGGTTGAACTTCCAACATTTGAAAAATACCCACACCAAAATGAATGCTACTGTATGCTCATTATGAAAGCATATTGTATTTATAAAAACGCAAGAAAAATATGCAGCCTAAAGGAAAGTTAATGTTGCCACCAAAAATGGGACCATGGCTATTTTCTGCTGATTACTGGGCTGTTCCTACATAGTCTATTTCCTGTACCTGCCACAAAGTCTCCAAAGCCGATGGTGCTGAGGGTGATGAAGCAATAGTAGATGGCCTGGGAGAAGGTCCAGCCCTCTTGCAGTTGGAACACAATCATGGGCATAACAAAGAAGAGCACTGCTCCACACAGGTAAGACACCAGGTGGACAAAGAAGCGGGTACACTTCTGCCGAGAGATGCAGGAGGGAGAATTGAGGCATGAAGAATAATTACTACCTAAAATGTGTAGCACAAATATTTCCATAGTGATCTGATATTCATAGAATAATTAAAGGTCTCCTCACCCTTCGCTTGGTCTTCCCCTCGAGGAAGTCAGAGACATTCCTCTCTATTGCAAGGATGTACTTGCCGACCCTGTTGAGCACCACCAAGTTGAGCGGGATACCAAATAGTGCGAAGAACACACAGAATATCTGGCCAGCAGTAGAACTTGGACTCATGTTCCCATAACCTGCAAAACTGTAAGCTATTAGTGTCTTATTTCACTCATTCATGGTTCATTATCATAATAAATCAAGTCATCTTGAAACATTGAACATCTAAATAGTGAAATATCTTGTGTTAGTTATTACAACACAAGATTACAACTCTGGTTAATGACCATGTACATCATAAGTGTTTAGGTTGCACAAACACAATTTTTGCTAAATTTGTCATGGGGTATGATTCAAATTCACTTCCAGTGTTGTCTAACCTATTGTTGTGACTACAGTGGCAGCAAACACAGCTGAGCTGGTGAACTTCCAGAAGCCGTCCGCGGTCTGGTTGCCTTTCAAACTAAGTCCCACCTTGGACGCTGCTTGAACAACCTGAAATGAATAACAACATTACAAACCAGGGGAAAATGTCAAACTAAACTAAAACAATTGCAATTTTCATAGCCTTTGGTCGCCCCTTATGATTCACCATAATGTGACGCCCTGTACGTATTAATACACATTCCTAATGTGTATTAATACCTACATGAACACCTTTCTAAGCCTTGTGTCAGGCAGAGTATATGACAAAAGTCTTGAGTTCTACACTGGAAAATTGCTCCAAAATAAAAACATTCTCAGACCTAAGACTTTGTTAGTATTTAATATTAAGTAAGTTTACATTTACTTTATTTAACAATTGAGGCTTCATGTAAATTGATTTGTAGCCTACTGCCAATGTGTAAACGGATTGTAACAACCATTTCTGACTTTCTCAGTTACACAGCCTATGGATTGATTTAAATTAAGGAGTGTTCTTTAGCTCTCCTACTGCACAAATAGTGTGTAGCTAACATAAAATAATGGCTGGTAATGACTAGCTTACTGTTTGCAAATTACCAGTTACAGTCTCAAAGCAACCGAGGTAAAGTCCATGCAGCATTGTTAAGTTACTGCTAGCTTGCTAACCTCAGTTTGCTTCCTTGTTGACGTTATAGCTAGAACAAAAATATTTGAGTGGATATGTTAGTTGGGAAGCTTGGCAAAATAATTCACCAGCTAACATGATGCATTATACCATCATGAGTGGTATGAAAAATCGTGATTTTAGACCAAAATAAACTAAACTAAAAGTTTAGCCAGCAAGCTGTAACTTAGCTACACTGCATGGATCTACTGTAGGTTGTTTCGTTATGTTAGCTAAGAAAGACATGTGCAAACAGGAAGCTATAGTTAGTATCATGGGGCCAATGGTCCACATAACATTACATAACACAAAATGACAGCTAGTATCGTTTTTTAAATTATAGCTATATTATTGTACGGCGCTACTCTGTTGTGGCCAATGCCCACAGTGACGCGTCCTAAAACCCGGAAGTAAGCTGCGCATGGGTCCCTTCCATGATTCCTTCGAAAAAAAGCAATGCAATTTCTCCATAGGATTTTGGAAAATAGCTCGAAATAAGGTCTGTGGTTGACACACATTTAAGAAACGGATCACGTTGTGTTCAGTCGGATAATCTCCACGTCTACCCTACTTTTACAATGTTCGAATCATACATCTAATTGACAGATTTATGATTCGAAAATTATGATGCTGATACATCCTAGTTCCAAATATGTAAATGATAGCTAATTTTTGAAAGAACTGACTAAATTGAATGTATTGCACCTTACTGCCTTATGTGTATACTGAGCTGGCGTTGTACACAAATCACCTCTAATGCTTGCTAAAAAAACAAAATGCAAATTTCAGAGAAATTGAGTCCAGTCTCACGTGACTTGGCAGAATTTTCAATTCAATCCGTTGCTTTTATTTCTCTGAAAAATAGTGCACACTAGGACATGCCTTTCTCTAGAATGTTTAATGTGCCAAAAATGCTTTCCAAGGAAAATATTGCACAACTTTTCTGCGGTGAAAGTTGAATGTGTAGTTCTGAAAGGCTGATTAAGCTCGTATTTGCATAGAGGAACCTGATTGCAAATGGCCCTCCACAGGTTCGTTTTGTGGTTTCTGCTTCAATAATAATAATACATTTCATTTTTATAGCACTTTTCCTAGTGCTCAAAGATGCTTAAAAGCACTGTGGCAAAAATGATCCAGTTACTGTTTGTGGCTACTACGCAGGAGTCAACCTTGAAACATGAGCATCTAAAACAAGATCGATCAAATGTATGCTAGTTATAAAGAGTAATGGAAAACAACAATATCCTTTGTGAAGCTGAAGGGTAGAACTGTTAATTTGTCAGATGCATGATTGATTTGTAGTTATGGTTTCTATATTCAGAAATGTGAAAAACCTTAAGGAGTTGGATCGTGTTCCCCATGTTAATCCAGTGGTCTCCCTTGAAAACAAAAACTTGTCATATACAAAACATACAGATACTGTTTGGCTACAGGCATACATTAGCTGTGTAATAGTCCCATCACATTTGCATTTTAGAATGTCTGTGGCAAAAATGAGTGCCTGAGTGTAATGTGCTAAAACCCATAACTGTGTTGCCTCTGTTGATGTCCTGCACCTCACCTCAGCCACTCGTTCCAGGCCTTCTTGGTTCAGACAGGTGTACCTCGTAAGCAGCTTCTTTTTGTTCAAGAGTAGCCGATTGATGTCTTTCTCGCCAAGATCTCCCTCCAACTTCCAGAAAATCACACCGCCGATCAGTACATAGGTCACGTAAACCATCCCGAGCAGGAGGATCGAGGGAACCCGCGCCCAGTTCAGCATTTCCTTTATCCCCATCTTGGCTCCCTGCTAGAACACTTGAATCCAGGTGTCTCGAAGGAGTGAGTGTTTACCAGCTTGTCATCTCTTCTTTCCTTGCATTGCAGTCAAATAAACCTGCAGCTGCTGTTTCAGTCACTCCAATGGTCTGCCATGCAAATAGGGAGCGACACCAGCACAGGTTGTGCTTTCGGTGATGACTATGGGTAAGGTCAAATGTTGGCGTTTCTGGCCAAAATAAGCCATTGTTTATGAGGTCATGACATTGCGCCGCAACTGTGGGGTAATTTAAAAGTATAGTTTTTAGGGGATGTGCACAATCTCCAAGAACAATTAGGTTTACATTATATTGAAAATGATATCAGTTCTCATACTAGTTTAACCAAGAAAGAGGCAGTTTTTACTCTGCTAACCACCATTTTCAGTAAAAACATGAAAAAAAAGTATGAGCAGTAAAAGCCCTCTTCCTGTCACCCAGCTGCCTTTCTAGGATCACTCGGGTCACCTTCATCTGTGTTTGTTTAAGATAGCCCTCCATGCTCAATGCACCAGAGATGACCATTAGTACACAATCGCAGCTGTGGATTTACATGATGTTACACAAAAGTATCTGACATTTAGATATGTGCAACATGGGACATTAATACAGTCTAATAATGCAGTTGGATAATATAAAATAAAGAAGAACTACAACAAGAGTGCAAAACAATTCATCCTGTTGTGTGAGGGAAGAAAACATTATAGGATTCCAACATGAGACAAAACACTTTTCACAATAGGCGCATTCACACCGCAGTACTTTTCCCACAAAGGTTCATGAGTTAGAGAGCAGGGACTTTCGTGCGGCTCTCTTGTGAGAAAAGAGCTATATTTCTGATTGGCTGGGCGGATTGCAAACCACGCCCCGTAAAACTCCCCAAAAGTTTTGTGAAGCCGCCATTTTATTATCCTCGCATTAGCATTATTAGCATTAGCATTAGCCCAGCGCACAAACGCAGAGAGACTAATTTATGGCAACACAAAATAAAACATGGGAGCGGTGGAGATGAGGAGCTGTCGACGTTCTGGCGATTTACTCGGAAGGCTTCAGTAGAAGCTGCTGGGAGTCCCAGCAGCTTCTACTGAAGCCAGTCCCCAACTCCGGGGACTTCCGGCCGGGGACTTTGGGCGGAAAGTATACGCCGTGAAGTGGTTTGCGGCCTGCCAGTAAACCCAAAGCAGAAGAAGAAGAAGTGACGTCAGCGGCTTCATTTGCCTAATCCACCCCCAGGGATTTATTCCGATGTGAACGCGATCTGTACTTAGTTCATGAGAACTAAAGAGTTCTCATGAACTAAGTTCTCATGAACCTTTGTGGGAAAAGTACTGCGGTGTGAATGCGCCTATTGAGGCTTTAACCATAGGCTCTTATTAATCAAATTGCCAAATGAAAAAATATATAATTCCAATTAATGTATTTAAATTATATAAAAAAAGAAATAATCAGGAAGGATGAACGGTTACTTATTGTCTATACTAAGAGCACAAATATTTGTTGCCCTCCAAACTTACTGTTTTGTTTTTTTACATAGTTCATAAATGTTTAGAAATGTGTCCTGAATTATTTAATGTAATTCTTAGAAGTTAGATTCTAGGCCCTGATCCAATGAACTGAATCTTTGCCAAAGTTGAGGTGGAATTGTTATTCAAAAACCTTCAGAAGTTGTTTCTGCATTGCATAGAATATATCAAACAAACTCAGGACAAGGAAAGTAAAGCAATTAAAGTAATACATATGCAGGTGCAAATATCTTACAAAAACTGTTTTTAATGTAACACAATATGTAAAGAAAACAGTCACACAAAATATGTTCTACCTAGTGAATATTACATATTTGACGTGTCTTCTATTGTACTTGAGGACACGTCTTCTTCCTCCTTTTGTTTATTAAAGCCTGGATGAGTCAGGCCAATTGCATACTCCATTGTTCTGGCTCCCATGTTAAGGATAAGGGCGAGCCAAGCCAAGGCAAAGATGATCCATATGCCTGCAAGGCTGCGGTATAGAGAGATGTACTCCTTGCCTGGGTCAGTCCCTACATGCAATGGAAATGACATTGTCAGAACATGCTTGAACATCACAGTAAGAATCATCAGGTAGTATGGTTTATTCATTGAATGTCACAGTTATTGCCTCAAAGAATGAAAAGGCACTCTTATCTAACAGAGGTGACCGCTGTGGACTTTCCACCACATTAGTGCTTGTTTGCTTTCGCTCTACTCACCCACCACATAATCTCCAAAACCAATGGTGCTGAGGGTAATGAAGGTGAAATAGAAGCCCTCGCCAAACGACCAGCCTTCCACGTAGCTGAACAGCAGAGGAGGGATGACTAAAAACAGCAGGCTGCCGGTGATGAAGAACAAGCTCACTGCCAGAGCCTCAACTGTCTGCTATAGGAAAGAAACAAGTCACATCCATAGGCATCGTTTTGGCATTACAAATTGACCTTTTGCTTTCATACCTAACATTTTTTATCGCAACATTGATGGCTAGCAAATGCAAAGTAAGTATCATGGATCTGTAAGCAACCATTTTTGTTTGGTAGTAAGTCTGTCACGGTAACTCATTATTGCCGATATATTGTACAAAATATTAACTTCATACAATATATGATACCATATATCAACATGTATATTGTACAATTAATGGAAATGTCCATGATACTTTTAAATGTAATTGATTTATTGTACAACATATTATCATGTACATGACCTCAATCTTTTTTACGCTATTGACTTGTCACACCATATATGGACATGTCCTTGCTATATCGACTTATTGTACAATACACGGACATGAGTTTAGTAATATTGTGGATATTACCACGGTCATTTAAATGTTACCGACTTGCCATCAATCTATTTTTGTCATTGACATATCGAACAACATTCATTTTTGATGACCTAATGGCTAATGCGTCAGTACCTTGTGAGGAACAACCGAGACCATTCCCCTCTCCAGTCGACCCAGATGGATGGTGAGACACTTCCCCAGCTGTTTGAGGAAGGCCAGGTTCAGGGGGATTCCACACAGTGCGTAAAACACACAAAACACTTGACCTGATACAGTGCTGGGGGAGAGGTTCCCGTAGCCTGTGGACAAGACAAGGATTTGTCATTATATTCTCTTTTTTAAATGAACCAGTTAAAAATAATGAATACTTAAAGATGTTCACCTATAGTTGTGACAACTGTGCCTGCAAAAAAGAAGGAGCTACTAAAATCCCAGTTGCTGGGGTTTGTTGAGTTGCCTGAGGGGTTCACTCCCTTTTCCCAGGCATCCAAAATCACCTGCAAACACATAAAAAAATGGTAATAAAGTAGTAATAAAAAAACAAGTTATAATTTGGACCACTTATTGATTTATTAGGACAGGTTACTGTAACACCATTTATTAATGTGTACACAACCTAATAATACAATTGATCTCTTAATATATCTGTCACTAAGTATTTGATGAGCCCTTTGTATTGTCATATTTACTCTTTGAAAGACAAACCATGTGTTTAAGCATGTCAAAAAAATGTATAGAAAAAAAAAACAACACCAACTAATATGGTAAATGTAATTATATTTCAAAATGGTCCTGTTACATTTTAATAAACCTTAACGATGTTAATGTTTTTATAAATTCAAGAATTGTTAAAGAACCTGAACAAACTTCTCCAAGGCTGGTCCATCCAGGCAGGTGTAGTTTGCCAAGAAATGTAACTTCTCCAGTTGGAAATGGTTCCGGTTGTTGCTCTCAGCCTCCCGCTCCAGTATCTGGAAGATGGTGGCCCCAACCAGCAGGTACGTGAAGTGGGCCAGAGTCAAAATGGCTGTCCAGCTCACTTTGAACCGCACATACTGGAACCTCGCCATCAACCAGAATGGACCCAAACTCTGATGCTCAAACTTAGAGGTCAATCGCTTCAGAAAGGTTTGACAATCAAAGTCTTGATGAAATATGCAGGTCTCATTAGTAGTTCCCAAAAGATGACTTCCATTGCTGCAAATATATTCTTCTCCAGAAGATTGTCAAAAGCGAGACAAAGCTAGAAATGGCGGATGTTTGGTATCATGGGGGTGACATGCTCGAACTGGATAATGCTCCAAAGGTGAAACATCTCGACTCGATGCTCCTTCTCTGATTGGTCAGGGATGTTGGGCTTTGATTTATGGGTTGCTTGTGTAACGATTAAACTCCTCTTCTCCATTAGCACGACATCTGGACACACACACATCCACTTTCAACTGTTTCCACTAATAAGGAAGCGTTGGCAGCGTTGTGTCAGCAGAACAAAAGTTAATGTTTTACCTTACTGCTGGTGGTTGTCTGAGCACCCAATGATAGCAGAGCCTTTCAATAACATTCTGCATAGTGAGGAATCCTTTTATCGGAAAGGTACATTTCAAACAAAAACTATATTTACTTTAGTTGCTGTTGAATTTTGCGGAAATGTCGAAAGCCTAATAGACTGTGTGCCATAAAGCAAAGAGTTGAAAGATGAGTCATGAGAGAACTTAATGGGGTTTTATCGCTGTAGTGTTTAGTATTCTGGCATGTTTAAAATGCCCCAGAGGACGTATAAGAAAAGCATTACGACTTTAGACTAGATGCCAATAACTACAGCTATAATTATCATAGAAACATTCAGTTATGCTCTGGTGGAATAAGAATGTAGCAAGAATATAGTAAAGAGTTAGATGTCTATGACGGCTATAAATTATATTACATATTGTAGCCTTAGATATATTTCCAATGCTGCAAAAAATATTAAACACTAGATCTGGAGTTTGTCATTGGTGAGTAAACTGAGCATGTTTTATGTAAGGTGACAGATCACGTAAAAACAAGCTTAAAAACTGTAAAAATAATAATGTGGGATACGGCATGCAGTACATAAACTTTGAATGAAAACACACAAAGAAAGTTTATATAGAATTAAAATGTTTACTGCCTCCTATATAGTCATTTAGATTAGTCATATTCTTGTGTTTTGGGTTATTAGCAATATTATACTCCATCAGAGAAAATACAATCTCACACATCATTGTGTTACAAAATCATAACAAAATGCATGTGAAATGCCAGCAAAAGCCTTGTTCACAGGTCTTTCAAAAACAAAAGCATGAACTTGCCTTGCCAATTTAACTTAGAATTCAAGCTAAAAGGTAAATTAGGGTAACAAATATTTTAAATGATTTCCTTTTACTGCCCAAAATTGCTTCTTGTTCAAAGAGTACACTACATAAAAACTGCTTTAAAGTAATTAACTACTAATTGAATCACTATACAAAAAAGAATGAAGCTGAATGCTTGTCAACTACTGCAATATGAAGTTAAACTTCAAGCTTGATTACATGTTCAGTGCTCTCCTACACTATCAATTTATTTGTATAGATTTACACTTCTGTGTTTATGGACTTTGTGGTGTTATTAAAAATATATTTTAACACAATCACGCCATGAAGAGAGTCACTTATGTGTCTGAGAGAATAACAGATATCATGACTTCACTGAAGAGGGCTCATTCTCCAAGGCAACTGGATTCAAATTGTGCAGCTGCTTGTCATCTGTCAAACAAATCAACGCAAAGCCATGCAAACTGCTTTTGTTCCAAGGTTCACAGGTTGTCTGCTGGTGTGGTAAGTGTGTAGCAAGAGCTGCGGAAACAGAATGTGATTTAATATCGGCTGACATTTGACGGATAAAGTGAATTTCATGATATAACACATCTACTCTCATGTGGGAAGGAACTCATGTAGTGACCTGGCCGCATATACAGTATGAAGCTGTGTAATGTAATGCTTAACATCCTTGTCAAATATATCATTATTAATTGCCTATAGTTGATCTTATCTTAATGTAAAAACCCTTAAATGCTCATTCAGCTCAATACGTAATAATCATTAGTCCATGCAAAGAAAAGTTTGTAACCCTATTTGAATTTCAAATAAAGTATCTTAAGGAAGCACTGTACATGCTGCAGGCCCTCAGGGTGTTTCCCTGCCTTCTGCTCAGTGCACACTGGGATATGCTCCACCTCCCTGTGTTCCTAAATAGCATTAATCACAGATACTGTAAGGCTTTATGACCCATTAGTAAAACCGCTACACGATGATTGGTTTTGTTAATATTATATCCTTATATTCTGAACAATACTTGAAAATAAAGGTTTGTATTTAAAGACAGAAAAAGATACTTGTGCAGTATGTGTTATTTGGAATACATTTCACTACTAATTCACATGGATCGTAGTCAATGACGCAACCAACTGGTTAGTTTTCCTTATACCCTTCATGGCTGAAGGTTATGACGAATAGCTTGAGGAAAGTCATTTACCTGGGATATTTTCTAGGTGTATTCCACAGAAAAAGCAGCACTTCTAAATCTGAAACTTGCCAGAGAGTAACTGTAAAAGGAAGAGCAACAAGAGATTTAGAATCAGTGATGATGGAAGAAAAATATAGCACAAGCTATTTCATAAATCAGGAAGCTCACGGAAATGTAAGTTGCCACAGAACAGGCAGATCAGCTGTTATCAGGTTACCAAACAACTCCTCATTTACTGTATGTTTGTCAGTGCTTAGCACACATTGACTAGTAAGTGCTAAGTACAAATGTAATACGTGGGCAATACTGCATTTCATCATCAAATAGTTTATTCTGTATTTGATATTGTGTTCAATTTTCTTATACACAAAATGTACTATACATATATTACATATCTATGTACAACCTTTTACACAAAATAACATACATCTGAAATGCATGTTAAACTTCCTGTGGCCATTTGATACATCATGATTCATTCTTCACATACTGGAGCCACCTGGTTTCCTTCCTCTCATATCTTGAGACAACATTTGTTTAGATCAAATGTGCGGCGCAGGCTTTGATTTATACTGCTGCCCATTGTACCGGACAAATACTCCAGGAGGCCAACCAGTGTGTGTCTGCATGTAAACATCAGACAGGATGTGTGGCTGGTGTTTGGCAGATCACAAATCCAGTATTTTCAGGATCTTCAATGTCCGTCCATCTTTACTCAATAATGTCCAATACTCGTTTAAATGCAGATGGAGGTTGAAGAAGCATTTAGATGGCGGAACTTCAGGTGTTCATTAGAGCATCGTGGTATTATTGAGGTGGTCCTGAAATACAAACAACATCACCTGGCAGATCAGACATCCAATGAAAGGTATTTGAGAAAAAAACAAATAATGCACCAAAAATATTTCCTTGAACATCTTCCTTTTCAGAGTAAGAACCCCTGAAATCACTCAACTACGACTCAAATCACAATATGAGCCAAGAAACCCAACGCTGCCCATCGTTCTGTCTTTTCATATGATCTCAGCCTTTCTGTGTATCTAATAGCATCTGCAAAACAAGCAGCTTCTTAAGGGTCAAAGGAGAGGGAAACAGGGAGAAGAACCATGGAACAGCAGAAGAGGAGAAGTTGCCAAGCTAGAAGAGAGAACACTGCGGCCAGAAAACTCCTAAGTGAATCTGAAGAATTACCAGTTTATGAGTAGTACTTTATAAACTCAAATCTCAAAAGAAGACTTTTATTCTGAAATGTAGTAAAGCATCACACCACAGTGTGATGCTTTAAAAGGCTTTGCGGGTGTGTGAGTGCGGGTGTGTGAGTGTGAGTGTGTGTGAGTGTGAGTGTTACCTGTCCTGCTGAGGAGGTTTTGCCTTGCTCTGACAAATGCCAGGATGTCAGCATCAGCCTTTTGGTCTCCGGTCAGGGGAATGGAGGAGGATGAGAGTGTGGTGGTGGAAAGAGACCTGAAATGTACATGTGTGTAACGCAGCAAGACAATATCAGCATTTAGGACTATATTCTTGTAACAAATGCTCAATTTGTATATGTGTTTGGGAAGGGATAAGCCTAAAAGACAAACCATTTCTGAACACTCGAAATTCATCCTGTTTTGTCACAGACCCATATTTCTCACAGATTATATCTTTCTTTCTTAAGGTTGGTTTTCTGTTTTTGTTCCAAAAGCTTTAAGGAAACATGCTTAACATTAACAGGTAACAGATCCTCATATCACGGGGCCTCTGACGAAAACAATAGTATGTCTGTAATTTAAGTGGTTTTTGGAGAGGCGAACAAAAGCATACATGTTATTCATTGACTGTTTTACTGTGGTTGTAAAACAGTCGTTCCAGCATTTGCTTGATTTGTTAATATAGTTTGTAGACATTACTTCACAAAGAAATAAAAAAGTTATGGGCACGTTCAGAAGTGGAGAGAAAACACTGCGCAGCTATAAAAGCTGCAGGTCCAGACTGTATGTATATACTTAAGAGTTACTGCAAACATGTGTAGCTACTGTATTTATAACATTTGTGCACACACTTGAAAGAACTACACAAACACTGTTCATCTATTGATTAAATTATTTCTTCAGTCTGCCCTGTTTAAGAGGCCTTGACTTGTACAGAGTGTAGGGCTGTAATGAATGTCACATTTGAAGTCTCAGTTTTTCAAATAAAGCACCAAATGTCTGTTTATCTCCTAAATAAAACTCCTTCAAAATAATTCCCAGTGTAAAAGTGTTTTTTTTAATGAAAAAAAGAAAAGCTACGCAGCATTTAAATGTTGTCAAATGAAGCAAAGAGGCTTCAAACTATCCGTTACAGCCCGAATTAAGAGACCACTGTAAATTATATTTTTCCTGAACTGCAAAATGTATAGGAGATATGAGATTTTTGTGAATAATAAGCGGAACGACAGACATAGAGAGCTTCAACTTTGCTGAATGTAAGCACTAAAGAAAATCAAATCTATCCATTGCCCTCATGCCACACCAGCCTTCCATGTACCTCCAGTCAGATGAAGGAGTGAAGTCAGACACCGTCCTACCCAGGGTCTCATCATGCCCTTCTGGGACAGCCATCACAGGGATGTAGCTTCTGAAAAATAACAGGTGACAAGGTTAAAGTTTGACATGCATCGTCGGAAAGAAATGTGAAATTAAATGACACTTTGCTGACCTGAGATCTTGAACAGAGGTGGAGCAGTGGACTGGGTGTGGTTCTGATGGAGAGTCTCTCACAGTGCTGCTCAGAACAGGTGCACTGTGGGACAAGTCGGGAGAAATACTGTGGCACCATTAGTCCACAGATTATCTCATAGCATTGGTCTATAGTAGGGACTAGCAGTCATTCGATGCAGCCTGTACTCATCCTCTCTTTTTATCAGTATCATTGCATACATGTGCTTTTCTTCACCACAAGAGGGAGCCACTATACAATGTAGTTGCATAGTTTGCACTTTATTTACAACCTTTTTGAGGCTGTAACATGTTGCACATCTTTTAATAAAAAATGGTATGGTTTGCAGTTTAACTCCTGTTTCAGTTTAAAAGTGTGATATAATTATTTAATTAAATAAAAATAAGTAAATCATTTTGACAAAAAAATGTTGGATGATTATGAATTCAATGAAAGAATGAATTATTTAAATGTAAGATGAATCCATTGAAGATACAATTTAAGAAAATTGATAGATTTTTGTTATTATTTCAAATCATCGGAGTTGGATGAATCTGAATTTCCGAATGATGAGACGATGAGCTTTGTAGCTACATTGATGACAGTGTTTGCTAAAGTTCTCAAAGATTAAACCCCAAAAAAGGATACAAAAGAATCCTGCACGAACAATCCACATATACCTTCATTTCTTGAGGAAATGAAATGACCTTACAGAGATTTCTAGGAAATACCAAAGATTCGGTTGATAATGATAGGGCTGCTAAATATAACAAAAATGTATTGAAATTGCAATATCCAGAAGTGCAAGATCTAAATCTCAGTAAGCGCAATATTTGGTGAAGGCCAAATGTGAGAAAATATCTTGATAAAGTGTTATTGTGCTGGAAAGAAGTCACGGCCTAGGAAAGGTTTTCTACAGACTTATTAAAGAATCCTTGTTTGGTATAGATCCTTTTGAAAAGTCACACCATGATACTTTTTTATATATATTTTTAAATGCTGATGTAAATGATGTTTTAAAAAATGGAAACAATGTGCAATTGCAATTAGTATTTTTTTCCAAATGGTCTGGCTTCATGTCTGCTGTGTTAGCCACTTCCTGTCCCCTCGCCTAAACCAAAAACGGAGTAATAAACAGTCGGTGAGAAAGCTTCTGACAAAGGGAAACTAAGGACAACCAGTGTTGTAGCGAATTAAAGTGTCATAATATCCTCATCCTGGTTGATGGAGCAGAAAATCACAATGACATTACCTTTCAACATTTGTTTAACATTTGTTCCATGGAAACGAGCAGTGAGGAGCTGCAGGTTGTTGGTTATTAATCAAATGCTGTTCCAGCCCAGATGGTGAAAGGGTAAAAATAACATGAGTGAGTTAAGGCGGAAATGACTCAGTGAGGGAAGATGTTTCCCTCTGAAGCTTGGCTGGTGTCTGTGTGAACAAATGGGCTTGGTAGAGGGTTTAAAATTAATGCTTAATGTCCTCATCACTGCTTGTAACACTTTTAAAATCTGGAAGAACAGACTGAACAGAATCCTCTTAATATCTCACCGAAATCCTGGAGTGCTGGGTGAAGATGGCTGTGAGGTTCCCCTTGGCGACCCTGTGACCCTGGCTGTGGCCTCAGACTCCTAGGAACAACCATTGAGAAACTCTGGAAGTTTTTCTGGAACACTTCTCAGCAAACACCATTCCATACCGATGACAGTCCAACACAATGTGGCCATATGTTACTGACGGCGAGCGGAAACTGAAGACCTCGGGAGTTACAGTATGTTCTCTTCTTTAGCTCCATCATATCTCTTACTCAGAGTCTGATCAATTACATGTGTATCGCTTTCCAAAAAACAGAACAATAAATGGTTGAACAAAGCTGTCGGATACAAGAATACTGGCACGGAAAACAGCCGGCTTCCTGCTTGGAAGACTAAAAACTGCACATGTAAGGTCTGTCTGTCAGACTTCCTCTTCTTTCCAGTGATAAATTCTCAAACCTTGCTCAGATGTGAGTGAACATTTCCTCTTTCATGGGACCAAAACGATAGTTACGTCTGTAACTACGGTTCTATGAGTCCCGGATGACCGCCAGAGGCGCTGCTTTAGCACTGGATATGTCCATCGCGCGCATGCGCAGCTCGAGTACCAATAACAACAAAGTCACCTGTGACCCATGTGACACCAGCTATATCTGCCGGTGTCGTCAGAGGATCTGTTCCCAGAATCTTCTCGCGAGCACACAAGAATTCTGAGTGACAGGGTACTCTGGTGGTCATCCGGGACTCATAGAACCGTAGTTACAGATATAACTATCGTTCTATTTCGTCCCTACAGACTGCCAGACTCAGAGGCGGTGCTTTAGCACTGGATGACTTATACCAACCATGTCATGAAGAATCCAAGCCCATGCTCACTACTGGAAGCAGCGGAGCTCGGCAAAAGGACCACGCCCAAAGGATGGGGAGTGGCGACATTAACCCGATAAAACCTGGAGAATGTGCCAGAAGACGCCCACGACGCCACGGCACAGATGGTCTCCAGGGGCACCCCTCTCAGGGCAGCCCAAGATGTTGAGATGCTTCTTGTAGAGTGGCATCTCAGCCCTGATGGCAGGGGGCGGCCACTGGCCCCATAGGCATGTGAGATGGTATCGACAACCCAGTGGGGAAGCCGCTGTTTTAGAGGTCACAACCTCTTTTAGTGCCTCCATGGCAAACGTAGAGCTGCTCCGACTGCCGTATACAGGCAGTAGCATCGATATACGCCCTTAGGGCACCCACAGGGCACAGCAACTCAGACGTGCCGTTCTCCTGATTGTCAAAGCGTGTCAGCTTGACAGGCCGATTGAAGTGGGTTTGTGGAAGCATCTTGGCAGGAACGCCACATTTGCCCAAAGTGCAACACCTGAGAGTCCCACCTCAGGCATGCATCGCTCACGGAGAGGGCATGCAACTCCCCAACTCGCTTCCCTGACGCTATGGCAAGCAGAAATGCTGCCTTCGTGGACAGCCAATGAAGCCCCACCTGGGCCAGGGGCTCGAATGGAGGAGATGATAGGGCATCCAGCAGCAGGGACAGGTCCCGAGCCGGAGCCCTCGGGGTGCTAGGGGGACGCTGCCGTAAAGCCCCTCTCAGGAATAGGGACACCGACCTGTGGCACCCCCCCGTGGCGCCGTCGACCCGCTGTCGGGCAGAAATAGCAGCCACCTAAACTCTCAAAGTGAAGTGAGAACATCCACTATCTAGAAGGGACTGCAGTCTGGGCAACAGTGGGCATGTTGTCCGAAGGAACAAGCCCATGCTTGCCCCCCAGTTGGGGTAAAAAGTGCGTGAGTGCAAACTGCACAGCCCGAAGCTCTAGCACGTTGACATGGCGTGCACCCTCCTGGGCAGACCACTGACCCTGAACAGTCCTGCCCTGCCACACTGCACCCCACCCTGAGAGACATGCATCTGCAGTGACAGTCTCCCGGCGGGATGGGATGGCGCCCCTGGGCACGCAAATCAAAAGATAGGCCCTGTCCCTCCAGCGGGACAGAGAGTGGAGGCACCGCTGAGACACCCTGACTCTTCTGTGCCTGTGCCACTTGGCGTCCAAGTGGAGGCTTTTCAGCCACATTTGCATGGGACTCAGCGACAGTAGGCCTAAGGGCACAACAGCTGAGGCAGCCGTCAGTCCGCCCAAGAGCCGGAGGAACTGAATCTAAGGCACCATCTTGCCCAGCCTGAAGATTAGAAGAAGGTGGAAAATGTCGTCCACACGACGAGGTGACAGTTGGTAGGCCCTCATGGCAGCCGACTCTAGGACCATCCCCAGGTAAGTGACCTGTTGGGAAGGGTCCAGGCAACTTTTCCGGTGTTTATTGTTAGACCCAACCGGGCTACGTGAGATAAAATCAAATCAAGTTTTCTTCATATAGCACATTTAAAAGCGAGAATAAAAACACATTACTACAATCACAATAAAAGACAATAATTTACAACAGAAATATAAAAAACAAAAACACAGGGAATAGTCAGGTATATCATACTCCGCTCTGATTAGAAGGCCAGAGAGAAAAAGTGGGTTTTTAGTGAGGATTTAAAAACCCCTAGGGTCTGGGCCGACCTCACATGGAGGGGCAGAGTGAAACCAGCCAATCGTCTAAATACGGCAGGACCTTCAAGCCCTGCGCCTGCAGGGGTGCGAGAGCTTCCGCCACGACCCTGGTGAACACCCTTGGAGAGAGGGAGAGACCAAAGGGAAGCACCCGGAACTGATAGTGTCGGCCCTGAAAGGCAAACCTCAAGAACTTCCGGTGGTGAGATGCAACTGGCACGTGGAAGTAGGCATCCCTCAAGTCCACGGATGCGAACCACTCCCCCTGTGCATGCTCTGTGGTCAGCATATGGAATGGCAGCACCTTCAGGAATCTCTTGATTCCTCTGAGTTCCAAGATCAGACGAAATCCGCCGACTTTCTTGCTCACGAGTAGAGCTTTCAACGCACGCCGCTGTGTGGACGGGCCGTAAGGCTCTGAGGCACAAGGCTGCCAAGAAGGCCAGCGACCGGGGGCATGATAGCCACCGGGAGGCGGTTGAGTGGGCCGCTGGGACCTCCGCAGACCACCACTGTAAGCTGGTGGCTGAGTGTGGCTGCTAGAGGGGCCCCTGGGCCTGCTGGGAGTGGAAACAGGCCTATGAAGACCCGAGAGCTGCTGCCTGGTCCGCCTAGCTTGGGCAGCACGCTCCAGTGCAGCTTCCACACAGGACATGTCTCCGACAGTGGTGACTGAGCAAGCCAAACCTGGCGACGAGTCTGCACCAATAAGGACATAATTCGTCCCTATTCCCTAGACATTAGGGCAAAGGCATGCAGTGATGCATCACTGAGGCCCAGCAAAGAAGGCTCGGCCGGAGCCTGCTGCAGAGAGGTAGTGACAGCCAGCATCAGATGGGAGAGGGAGTTCCCGTTACGACCCATGCGTGCCGCTGTGTCGTAGGACTCACAGAGCAGTTCGTCTGTGACCCTGCACTGAGGCCGAGGGCACCTGGCATCAGGCCTTGGAGCCTTATCAGGAGCCAGAATCGGGGAGGCGATGGCAGGCTCAATGGATGGAAAGCGACCCAGCCCCACCCTTGCCGGATCCTGCATGGCAGCAGAGTGGGAGAGGGCCCTGGTGTCTCTCCAGCATGCATGGTGCTCCCTCAGGTACTCCTCTGAAGGAGGAACAGTGAGAGTGACAGGGGCAGGGTTATGCCTGAAGAAGGCGCTAGCCTGAGCCGAGTTGGCCTGCAGAACCTGAAGCTGCAAGTGTGCCAGGGCCGCACGAATAATGGCCGCCATGGAGGTGTCCTCCATGCCTTGCAGAGAGCTCTGAGCAGAGGAGTGGGAAGCCTCCTCGGGAGCGCTGGGGCCCCATCCTACTCCCCTGAAGAGGTTTAGCCGAAGCCGCTAGCAACATGGCATCCTCAAGCAGAGGTGCGGCAACCGAAGGAGGGCCAGGCGGCAAGCTAGTAGCCCCCACACCGGCCCCTGGCTGAAGGGCCAAGAGGAGCGCAGGAGGCATAGAACCGTAGTAACCGTGGCCAGTGCCTACGCGGCAAGTGCTTACACGGCATAGAACCGTAGTTACAGTAGTAACCGTGGCCAGAGCTTAAAAGTGTCAGCCAAACGGCTGCACACTAGCAATAATATAATATTGGGAGGGATGAAACCCTCTTTAATGGCCACACATGCAGAGCACACAGCACACACAGTGAAGATTGTTCTCTGCATCTAACCCATCCTAGTGCTAGGAGTCTAGTACTAGGAGCAGTAAATACGATATAGTTAGGCTGAGCCACGCTACTGCTAACTAAATAAAACGAGAAACGATAAGACTCCGACTGGATCAGTCGCGAAGCTGCACGCGGCCAGCTGCATGCAGAGAAATCCCTCAGATCAAACGTTTAAACTGAACGTTTGAACATTCTTGTAGCCACGGTACTCTCGCGCAGCGAGAAGATGAGAGGAACAGATCCTCTGACGACAACGGCAGATATAGCCGGTGTCACGTGGGTCACAGGTGACTTTGTTGTTATTGGTACTCGAGCTGTGCATGCGCGCGATGGACATATCCAGTGCTAAAGCACCGCCTCTGGCGGTCAGTAGGGACGAAATAGAACCGAATAGAACCAACGTTTTAAAGACAGCAGTGCTGTTGGTCAGATGTTGCTGCTTTGCATCTTCTTCAGTGGTTTCCAAAATGTGCCATCCAGCCTTAAAGGCCACGCAAAGAGTGTTGTTTTGGCCAATCTCAACTCATCTTTCTCTCCACGCTTTTGCAAATGTTATGTTTACTAAACACAAGTTTTTTAAAGGGATAATTTGAATGTTTTAGAATGGGGTCGTATGAGGTACTTAGCCATACTTAAATTAGATGATTTCTGGCAAGCCCCCAGAAAACTAAGTGTGACGGAGCGGATCACAGACTGACTGACTCCGCCACTGACAGCCGACACACACACACAGGTACACACACACACACACACACACACACACACATCACACACACACACACACACACACACACACACCACACACACACACACACACACACACACCACACACCACACACACACCACACACACACACACAACACACACACACACACACACACACACCACACACAACACACACACACACACACACACACACACACACACACATCACACACACAACACACACACACACACACACACACACACACACACACACACACGACACACACACACACACACACACACACACACACACACACACACCACACACACACACACACACCACACACCACACCACACACACACACACACACACACACAAAAACCTTGTTACGTCTCTTTTTTTTTCTATTTTATTCCTCCTCATTGGCGAAACTGTGGCGCGCTTACACTGTAAAGTGCGCCGCATTTGTGGGTGCGGGTGCTAGTGGAGCCCTCGCAGATGGGGGTGCTGCAGCCCCCTCAGCAACCCCCCCCCCCCCCCTTCCGGCGTCTATTCGCGATGTCTCGATGTCCGCAGACCCTGTCACTACCCCGATCTGCAGCTCTGCCCGATCTGCAGTGCGCATGTGCGAGATGGTCCGCCTTATTGGACAACTCCGGACGGCAACCCAAGTAGGACAACATTGACACAGTGGCTTTTGGCAAAGCACAAAAGGAAAACGAGAGAGAGAGAGAGGAGAGAGAGAGAGAGAGAGAGAGAGAGAGGAGAGAGAGAGAGGAGAGAGAGAGAGAGAGAGATATGAGTTTTTGTTATTACAACGTGACTTCACTATTATTTAACAACTCTTTTTATTGGTTCTTTTATTTGGGGTTAAGTACATTGTCAGAATAAGTGAGAAAATGAATTAACTTCTGTTAGATAGCCATATGCCATACATTTTGCACACATTCACAATAAATATGTATTCAGTATGATAGCTGTCTAACAGAAGTTAAATCCATTCTCACTTATTCTGACAATGTACTTAACCCCAAATAAAAGAAAACCATATCTGCAACGGCCTGTCATTACCCCGATCCGTCCCCTGCCCGATCGGTACTGCGCATGTGCGAGATGGTCCGCCATATTGGGACAACTCCCGGACGGCAACACTTGACACAGTGGGCTTTTAGCAAAGCTCAAAAAGAAAACTCGAGAGAGATGAGTTATTGTTATTACAACGTGACTTCACTATTATTCGCACATGCGCACTGCAGATCGGGCAGAGCTGCAGATCGGGTAGTGACAGACCCCACGCAGCAACCAGGAAATGAACCCAGCTCACACTGTCTGCTCCTCACTGCAGCGAGCCGCGCAACGTCCCGCCAACATGGACACCCAGGCCCCACGCAGCATTCTCATCTGTTTGTCATTACTGGTGTCATTTTCGGGTTTGCTAACGCCATTGTAACACATAATCACTGATGTTCCGCTGTAACGGCCCCTACACACGGCGGCGTGCGTTGCCGCTTCAACGCTTCTGCCCATTCACTTTGAATGGGGTGACGTCACGCTTTGCCGAAATGCATTGTGGTTCCGTCGCTTCGTGTTGCTCACGTTGCTCACGTTGCTCGCTTCAAAAGTTGAGCAATGTTCACTTTTGAAGCTTCGACGGAAGCGTCAGCCAATCAAATCATATGCCAGTACAAGATCTAGCCAATCAAACTGTGTGCTTGTGTGTCCGGGGCGGGAGATTCGTGTGATTGGTTGTTGGTCGAGTTTCAGATACGCCCACCAGCAAGCTTCAACGCACGCCGCCGTGTGGACGCTGCGGTGGTGGACTCATCAGAACAGAGTGTGCGAGCTGACCAATCAGAGCACAGTGGGCTCACAGTGGGGGGGGCAGGAGCTCCAACAAGCCGTGTAGGACAGAGAGTGAATACACATACTATACAGAGATGCTGTATGAGAAACCAATGTGAGTTTGGAAAATTGCACAATATAAATCTATTCTAGTATACCTCAACAATGGAATTATGATCAGTAGAAATGCGCATGACATGGGACCTTTAATTTCAGTGAGTCAGAAAGCAGCATGAGAGAGGTGTTCAGGGTCACTGCCTCTCATGTGGCAGTGATACCGGCTTAACATCTGGGAAATCATTTTCGTCTGTTCTTCTGCTCTCTCTCTTCCCCTAATTTACGTATTAATTGCCCATTAGAGATAATTGAATTTGTGAGGCAATGCTTCAGTGGCAGAGGAAGACTGTATAGTAAATGTACATATTGTAAAAGACCATACTTGAGGTCATTAATATCTCCATTTAATCAGGTTAAAAGCGTGGGATACATTTACTATAAGATAACTTGAGGAGACATGTGATAGTGTGTCTGATAATGAATTTAGTGAAATGAGCAATATGACGAGGCTAAAACGATACAAGAGACATGGAAGTGCAGTTCTGTGGTCAGTTTCCATTGCAATCCCTCAGGTATTATACACACACACACACACACACACACACACACACACACACACCACACACACACACACACACACACACACACACACACACACACACACACACACCACACACACACACACACACACACACACACCACACACACACACACCACACACACACACACACCACACACACACACACACACACACACACACACACACACACCACACACACACACACACACACACACACACACACACACACACACACACACACACACACACACACACACACACACACACACACACACACACACACACACACACCAAACATTTCCTGCTCTCTTCCGTGAAATGAACCATGCAATTTCTTATTTATTTTGCGTTTGTTAATTATGGGGAATGATTGTGTTAAGAGGTAGTTAACCTGTTTATGTTTGGGTCGGATTTTTATGTTGACAATGTGGTTTGGAGTTTAATTGTGTCACCTGTTGACGGTAAGCCTGGTGGGAGGGGCTATGGGTTCAAAAGGGACTGGGTTTGGCCCTGGAAGTGGTCACTCGGGGGAATGTTGCAGTGAAGGCAACAGCTGGGACGTGTTCGGGAGATTGCTGCAGAGTAGGCAACAGCAGAACACGTTTACTCTCCATGAGTAATGGACGGCCTGATTTGGACTTTTATTTTGTTTGTTTAAGTTGTGCTGTTTCGCTATTTTTTTGTTGCTGTTGTAATTAAAGTTTTGGAGCTTAAAACAACCGACTGGGCCAGTGTTTCGAACGGACAAATAGAACCCCGTCACACTAAGCAATGTGCTTCTATGGACAGGGGGTTGCAGCAAAATGTATTTTAACCCCCTGAAAGACAAGCCTCAATATGTTTTCTATATTTATAATACATTTTTTTCTTTCAACATTATCTTGCCGTGAGACAGCTAGGATGTCCGGATTAACTGAAGAACTGAAGTAAAATATGCTTTCATCAAAGCCACCAGACTCCATTAGGGCTAAATATATCATAACTTTTGTACATTCGAAATATATCATAAACATTTTAAGTGGGGCCTTACTTTAAGGTGGCTAAAATACGTTTTTTGCTGAAATGCCAATCAATAGCAGTACTTTGCTTAGTCTAAGTCGATTCACTACTGTCAGTTTCTCCAAAATGGGAGCGTTCCAACACTAAAACACTGACTATAAAGTACTTAATTCAACCCCACTTCAAAACATCCAAACCACCCTTTAGGAACAAACAGACAGTGATTATTATTGACTAAAAATAAACATTGACTCACTTCTTATCCCCCCTTGTGTTGTTGAGAACCCTCTTGACCATGTGGTCCTTGTTAAAGCTCTATCTTCTCAGAGTGTATTGATGCTGTTGCTGTTCTCCTGGCTCTTGCTTGGGCCACATGGAGTTCTGTAAAAATGAGTTTCCTCCTACGTATCTTCCCACCAGGGCCCATTCAGCATGATGCTGAACAGAGGCTGCAAGGGTCACACTGGTGCCATAAAAACCTCCGAAGTCAGAGACACTTGCATTTTCACTTACACAAACTAACTTGTCCGTGGAGGCCAATATTCAGAAAACACACACAAACACACATAAATATACAGACATCATTTCAGAAACATGGTTTTAGAGACACTACCCTTGCCATGGTGTCATTCTAACAGGAGCTTTATGTGCTGTTGTCACATAAATAGGTAGAGATAAAGTGAGGTCCATCACCTGCACGCTGGAAGCCTCCCTGCTCCACCACTGATGGAAGTCTTTCTGGAGCTTGACCTTCGCCCTCTCCAACAGCAGCTGCAGGTGCTCAATCTCCGTCCTCAGAGCTTTGAGACGCCCGATGGCGCTCTTGTAACTGACAGGGGATATTAGCAGCAGCAAATTACTCTTTTGTCCATGTTGTAACAGCATCTGCTGTGACTAATGAATCTAAGCAGTGTGTTGGGAGAAATGAAAGTGAACTCTTAATACACTTACGCCTTCTTTTCTTGCTCTATGTGTTTGCACAGGTTTTCTTCCACGGGGTCGTACTCCTCCTCGACCTCTTGGTGATTCTGCATTACAGCTGGGGTAGGATTGGACAGGCACAAGACCGGGCAAATGTTTTAGAGATAAGACACTACTAAACTACAACCTTGGAACTAACAATAACATACAAATGCTACATTTATTGCAAAACCATTTTAAGGCATCATAGAATAACATTAAGAGATGCGTCTCTTTTATGAGCTGAAATTGAGTGAGAAACATGACATGAGCTATGTTTTTCCATAATTCTCAATGTTTTCAAAGTTTTTGCAGCTCAATTTAACCCAAAATTCCCTTTTCTGTAGTCGAAACTGGCTTCTTATACAATATTTTGGGGGATCTTAGAAATATATCAGTGATTAAAATCACCAATTAGTAAATCACCAATTGTTGTTCTAACCCACCTTGCATAACTACGGAAAAGGATTAGAAATTAGATTAAGTCATAATTCTGATTTATCAAAAAAAACAAAAAACATTTGGTCATATCTCCAAAGATCTTTCACATGTGGCCCTAATCCTTTTTCCTACATAACTGATCTTTTTTAAATTAACTTTTGATTTGATTTATATCTTGTAGTACTGCAAAGGACCCTTATGGGTACTCCTACCACCATTTCAGATACACGGCAGTAGATACAATCTCAAATAAAGTACAGTGAAAATGCCCAGAAGCTAGTAGATGCTAGTACATGAGACTGCATTTCCTTCAAAAATACAATGTTTTATGTTTTGCCCCTGAATAATCGAAGCCAGGCTGCTGTGAAGTATTCTCTGATGCGGGACTGAAAATAACAAGAAAAGCCTTTGGAGCCGTAACCGGAGGAAGATGTTTGTGTCCTTTACAACCAGAATTCCTCTTCAAAGCATGTATGCCACTGATCAAAACAGTCGGAGAAGAGTAAATGAAAAAGTCTTAGAGTTGTGACGCCCAGTCTTTGGTCGCTAAGATCTCAGTCAGCCAGGACTACTGCTAAAGCTTTGAAGTGGGCATCGCTGCATATCAAATAAAAGAGCCCACAATGTGTCACAATGTTTACCGGCAGCATACTCTATAAAGAGCTCAATATCTAAATCATAATAAGCAGAGTTCCCATTTGTGGCAGCTTTGTTCATTCTTTGAGTTTGGGCTTGGGGAGCAAAGTTAACCTGGATTCTCTGTTGTTGTAATTTCAAATGGCAACAGTGCGAAATGTGGACATTTTCCATATGATGCATGTAATTGCTTCAAGTGCCCATGCAATGTTGAGCTGGTGGTATGGTAGATATAGTTTGATATTTCTCTGTTTTTCTATCGACACATGATTACATTTAGCTGTGGGAATAACATTTGTCATTTTGATCTTACCATGAGCGGCCCTCTGTCTCCTCTGCACCTCTAACTGCTTTTTCAACTCATCTGAGAAAGAAAGAACAATACAAATGTAGCTTTAAAAAAAACAAAACATTTTCTCTAAATTGTATATCAAACAGACACAATACGCCTTCTATTAGCCTAACATTTGTGAAACATTTCAAACAAAGTTGAGAAAAAAGTGTTGAGGGCCCCTTTAATGTAGGAGTTTGTTATCACAGGTGTGGATCTTAGTCCACGAGGGATGTTACAGTAAACAAATCCATTGTCTTTGAATTGTTGTTTCACTAACAACCACACACACACACACACACACACACACACACACACCACACACACACACACACACACACACACACACACACACCACACACACACACACACACACACACACACACAACACACACACACACACACACACACACACACACACACACACACACACACACACACACACACACACACACACACACACACACACACACACACACACACACACACACACACACACACACACACACACACACACACACACACACACACACACACACACACACACACACACACACACACACACAAAACTGTGACGCGCTGGGGGGGTGCTAGTGGAGCCTCGCAGTGGCGAAACTGTGGCGCGCTTACACTGTAAGTGCGCCGCATTTGTGGGTGCGGGTGCTAGTGGAGCCTCGCAGATGGGGGTGCTGCAGCCCCCTCAGCACCCCCCCCCCCCCCCCCCTTCCGGCGTCTATTCGCGATGTCTCGATGTCTCGCAGACCCTGTCACTACCCGATCTGCAGCTCTGCCCGATCTGCAGTGCGCATGTGCGAGATGGTCCGCCTTATTGGACAACTCCGGACGGCAACCCAAGTAGGACAACATTGACACAGTGGCTTTTGGCAAAGCACAAAAGGAAAACGAGAGAGAGAGAGAGAGAGAGAGAGAGAGAGAGAGAGAGAGAGAGAGAGAGAGAGAGAGAGAGAGAGAGAGAGAGAGAGATATGAGTTATTGTTATTACAACGTGACTTCACTATTATTTAACAACTCTTTTTATTGGGTTCTTTTATTTGGGGTTAAGTACATTGTCAGAATAAGTGAGAAATGAATTTAACTTCTGTTAGATAGCCATATGCCATACATTTTTGCACACATTCACAATAAATATGTATTCAGTATGATAGCTGTCTAACAGAAGTTAAATCCATTTCTCACTTATTCTGACAATGTACTTAACCCCAAATAAAAGAAAACCATATCTGCACGGCCTGTCATTACCCGATCCGTCCCCCTGCCCGATCGGTACTGCGCATGTGCGAGATGGTCCGCCATATTGGACAACTCCGGACGGCAACACTTGACACAGTGGCTTTTAGCAAAGCTCAAAAAGAAAACTCGAGAGAGATGAGTTATTGTTATTACAACGTGACTTCACTATTATTCGCACATGCGCACTGCAGATCGGGCAGAGCTGCAGATCGGGTAGTGACAGACCCCACGCAGCAACCAGGAAATGAACCCAGCTCACACTGTCTGCTCCTCACTGCAGCGAGCCGCGCAACGTCCCGCCAACACGGACACCCAGGCCCCACGCAGCATTCTCATCTGTTTGTCATTACTGGTGTCATTTTCGGGTTGCTAACGCCATTGTAACACATAATCACTGATGTTCCGCTGTAACGGCCCCTACACACGGCGGCGTGCGTTGCCGCTTCAACGCTTCTGCCCATTCACTTTGAATGGGGTGACGTCACGCTTTGCCGAAATGCATTGTGGTTCCGTCGCTTCGTGTTGCTCACGTTGCTCACGTTGCTCGCTTCAAAAGTTGAGCAATGTTCAACTTTTGAAGCTTCGACGGAAGCGTCAGCCAATCAAATCATATGCCAGTACAAGATCTAGCCAATCAAACTGTGTGCTTGTGTGTCCGGGGCGGGAGATTCATGTGATTGGTTGTTGGTCGAGTTTCAGATACGCCCACCAGCAAGCTTCAACGCACGCCGCCGTGTGGACGCTGCGGTGGTGGACTCATCAGAACAGAGTGTGCGAGCTGACCAATCAGAGCACAGTGGGCTCACAGTGGGGGGGCAGGAGCTCCAACAAGCCGTGTAGGACAGAGAGTGAATACACATACTATACAGAGATGCTGAATGAGAAACCAATGTGAGTTTGGAAAATTGCACAATATAAATCTATTCTAGTATACCTCAACAATGGAATTATGATCAGTAGAAATGCGCATGACATGGGACCTTTAATTTCAGTGAGTCAGAAAGCAGCATGAGAGAGGTGTTCAGGGTCACTGCCTCTCATGTGGCAGTGATACCGGCTTAACATCTGGGAAATCATTTTCGTCTGTTCTTCTGCTCTCTCTCTTCCCCTAATTTACGTAGTTAATTGCCCCATTAGAGATATTGAATTTGTGAGGCAATGCTTCAGTGGCAGAGGAAGACTGTATAGTAAATGTACATATTGTAAAAGACCATACTTGAGGTCATTAATATCTCCATTTAATCAGGTTAAAGCGTGGATACATTTACTATAAGATAACTTGAGGAGACATGTGATAGTGTGTCTGATAATGAATTTAGTGAATGAGCAATATGACGAGGCTAAACGATACAAGAGACATGGAAGTGCAGTTCTGTGGTCAGTTTCCATTGCAATCCCTCAGGTATTATACACTTGTAGACGGTGCCGTGCTGTAGTTCTTTCTGTAACATGATCCTGTCGCCAATCTTAAACCCGAGCTCCAAAAACGACAAATCCAGATGACTTATCGTTTTGCAAAAAGAGAAAAGAACAGGAGTGTGGTGAACTGGCATTTCCTGCAACACCTCTCAAGGTGCCATAAACCTCTTGGCTCAGAGCTCCTGCTTTATCAAAGAAAAGATGAAGACACTGAGAGCATTTAAGACTAACATGTCCTGCCGGAGTGACCCAGAGTAAAGTGCAGTCTCATGAATATCCTGGGCTTTATCAAGCATGACAATGTTATTATTACAGACTTCAGGTTGAGTTTTACATCAGCTCTCAGCTTTCCACTGATCCAAAATGTTTTGCCCATGCAACACACAGACCAGCTCATCTTTCAAAAGTCTTTACAAACACCTTTTTTTAAATGCAGGCTGATATTTAGGGTTTCTGCTGACAGTGGAGATGTGAATGGATGATGTGCAACATTACAAATGACACACAGGGACATGTTGTGCCCATGATGATGGTATTTTTTCCTAATGCCTGTGGAGAACCAGCCAGGGTATGGGAACCTCTCACAGAATCTGCAGTTAGTGTACGTAACTGAGAATGTAAATGAGCTGAGACGCCCTGTGGCTTTACATTGTGGTCAGGTAGCCAGCCCAAGTCTTTATACAGACACAACATTCTCAAACATGACCCAAAACTGAAGAATCGTTCAAAACAAGATAACAGGATTAAGACATATTCCTGTTGGGAAGCACATAACAGCAACATATTCATAAATACCACATACGAGGAATTTGCTTTGATATATAAAGTACATAAAACATTAGTAAAATACTAGTATTTAAAGTGGAGAGCTGTGCAGATTTTACAAGTAGCGTTGAACAGCAATGTGCAAAATTGGGGATACATTTACTATACTATAAAGTTAATTTGGGACTGATAGTGAGTTAAGTGAACGACCATACATCACAATCCCTCAGGTGAAGAGCACATGGGAGCTGAGGGCACAAGGGCCCAACACTAACCGTACAGCTTGCATGAGTCATGCTACTGAAGGTTTTCCAAGGCCAAGCAGTAACACATGAGGACTAGATGTATTTATCACGGGTCTTAATACAATTTGACATGCTTTATGCCTGGCTGATGTATTCCTGAATCTGGATTACAATGCAGATGTACAGCACAATATTCTACTCAAGTCATTTTCACCCAGAAAAACACTTTACACATTTATTTAAACAGACAGGTGATTAAGAGAGAGAGGGACGATTGGAGAAAAAGTTAGAAAAAGTCCAGCGCATTATCATACCTGAAAAAAAGTTTTTAGTTTTTGACGTTAAGGCCCAGATGTCTATTGCATTCATAATTGTGTATGATACGAAATGTATCTTTGGTATTTCCTTTTCGTTGTATTCTATGTGCTTTTTAGGTTTTTCTGAAATGAAGCTTATTATGCAACTTGGACTGCCTTGCTCCTTGGGGCATGTAGGATCCATGAATAGGGACCAATTCATGTATGCAGTGGAGGACAGGGGTACATTTTATTTTGGTTACTTAAAATATATTTACACTGATGAAGTGTTTGGCTTTTAGTATTGAGTGAGGCTCTGATTTATTATAAATGTTTCCATTTATTGATTGATAGTGATTTCCGAGTTTTGATACAGGTTCATTTACTTAACATGCAATATTCGGGATTGTATTTCTGAAAGGCAGTTTGTCACTTCATACATGAATTTCATAGACATCTGCATTTATTAAATTTTTTTGGAGAAAATGAACAATTGTGGTCAGTGTTTTATTTCCTTCTAGGTCCATATATGAAATTGCAGATTGTCAAGAAAGATTCCACGAGAGATTAATTTGCGTACGTGTCAAGTAAGAGTGGTCTGCTTCCTGCAATACTATATTACACTTGAGTGTTGCTCTCCTCCCTGCAGGACATGACTGTGGGCTCTCAGCCTCCTCCAGACCATGCAGGGTTTCCTCCCACATCGCCAGGAGACATGCTGTCGTCTTTAAGGACCGGTGTCAAGCTACAAGCCTCAATAAATATTTGGTGATTTTTGTGGCTGGAGGTTAAACCTGATATGCTACACAGCGATCCCAAGATCCAAGGATCGTAAGTTCTCTCCAGCTTCTCAATATCTGGGTGGGTGATGATTTCAGTGTGCATGAAGAATGAATGCACTAAATAATATGAACATCTTGAAAATATTGAGGTGCTCAAATATAATTTAGATAATTGGTAGATAACTACCATCACAAGTGTTGCATAAACAAAAGGAAACAAGCAAGGTTGTATTAACTTGATCTCTACAAACAGATTTTGCATGAGTGCAGAATCTGTTTGCATTTGGACGGAACGCAGTGGTCGAAGAGTAACCTTGGAACCCATCAGCCAAGCTCTGATAACTATTCCGCTTAAAATCAGCTTGTAAACTGACTAACAATTATGGTTGTAGATGTTCAATGTACAAATCCAGTATTGCCTCTCACGATGCTGATAAGTCTAATACCAATGAGCACTCGAATAAAAGCGTCTAGGCCCTGATATGTGCTGGCAACACAAAACCTTACAAAATGTTGACTGTTATTTGGAGAATGGGTAATACTAAAGCAAAAACCACACAGAAATGTCTCTTTAAAGGGGCCCTATTATGCTGATATTCAGGTTCATATTTGTATTTAGTGTCTCTACTGTGACATGTCTCCATGCTTTAATGTTCAAAAAGCTCTTTATTTTTCTCAGACTGCCTGTGCTGCAGCACCTCTTTTCACCCTCTGTCTGAAACCAGAGCCCAGTCCGCTCTGATCGGTTAGCTGGCCGGCTCTTTTTTGATTGGACAACCACTTAGAGATGCCCCGGGCACGAACAATGTATTGGAGCACAAGCCAATAGAAGCGCGAGTGTTATATAGCTATGTCCTTATGTTACCGAAGTAGACTAAGGAGTCCAATGGAGGCGTTTCAGGCAGGTAGTGTGGGAGAGAAAGTCCCTCCAGAGGCGACTTGTTTTTAGCATTAGCAGAACATTTACATATACCACAAACCTATATAACTGACTAAAGGAAATGAAACAAAAATAAATACACAATAGGGCCTCTTTAATGAGCAGCCGCTAACATTAGCACTGCAAGAAGTTATGTAGATTCTAGAGGCCGCTGGTTACAAAGACCACATACAAATCAAATAATATTTTTCCAGCAATATTCCTTCTCAAGTGCTTGGCAACCACCTTCTTGGCGATGATAAAGGTTTTAGGCTCCAATACACCTTCCTTGAATCTGAAAGTCTTCCTCTCTGTGGGTCACTTCAGCGAAGGTGAGCAGAAGATGAAGGTGGGATACCAAATCAGTTCCCAGATGCTTCATCTTGGACTTTACTGCACAAATCCCCCCACATCTGGCAGTGAAATCAAGGAATGCTGCTCATTTGCAGCTGACCTACACCTTTGATGAGGTAGAAGAAGTGCATCGCTGATCCTTCTGAATAAATATATACCCTTGCACTTTCTGGACCTAAGGGCTTGGAACGTATATGCTCCTCCAGTGGGATTGGATTCCAGAGCCACGCGCCACGGCCAAGAACAATACTGTAGCGTGGGCTGCTGTTTAGACACTGGTGTCTCCACGGGCTACCGCCTCTCGCTTTTCTCCCCAGCTACTGACCCTCCTGCTGGGTTCATCCATCAGAAAATGCGCCACAAAGCTTTTGTCTATATTATGCTAAATGTTTCCATGTTCTACATTAACTATGAGACACAGGTAGAGTACAATTTCCAAGGAGGGCTTCCAAGATGGCAAGGAAACGCACTGAGCTAAACATTATGGTGCTAGTTTCCATCCAGAAGCGGCAACCACCTTCCACTAAAAACACTGTCCCTCATCTAGGAAGAATGCAGCTCCATGCACCTCACAGTGTAATAATATCTGACAGCATCAAGATGCTTTCTGGGTATCTTTCCAAATTTGAGAAAGTTGGAAAATTGTTAAATCTTACTACATTCATTTTGTTTCTCCTCATTGCTCCCTTTCATTGATGATGTCTGCAGAAGACATTTGAGGAGTAACTATTCAACATGATGTCATAGCTGATTTCTGCGTGCTGTCTGACATGTCTGATATTGGGCTGTGTCAGCACATGGTCTGATTGCTGAAAACAATTTAAATTCCAAATGGTGATAAGTGTACGCTGGCATGTGTGAGGGTAACAGCCCGAGTGCTACCAAACCACCAAGCGTGATCTGAGGCAGCGGCGATGCCAGGCGCTGGTGTGAGGCAAACCTATCTATTTCAATGGCATGTGAAATGAGCCACAAACACACGCAGTCCAGGGAAATTCATAAATGTAGCTTGCAATAGTAAATGCGAACCAGATTGAGGCCTAATAACACATTTTAACTGCTCCGAGTTTGCTGGAAAATTCAACCAAAGTGCAGTGAAATCATTTGAACTTGTTGCCACATAACTGTTCTTTAAGTAGCATTCTGTAACCCATTATGACTTCAAATCAATGTGGACTCATGTCCAAGTATGATGGCGCTTTGATGACATTTTCTATTACATTTCAATCTTGAAAAAATAAAGTAATTGTTGAAGTAGTTCTTGGGCTATTTAAAAAGTATGTTTTGGAACGGTTCCCTCCAGTTGCAGTAGGTGTGAACACACTTTCTACTGTTTTTGCCCGCAGAGCAGTCATTCAAGTAAAATGCTTGAGAAGTATTTGAGTAACCCAATGAGACAAGAGAAGTTGACGACTGGGAATAAATGAGCAAAATGTAACACAGTATAGAATGTGGAGTTTGCTGTGCAACAGGCTCACAGAATAATGTTCACACAGGTGATTAAACAACTATACATCATTTTTTTTACCTTTTTACTTTGATCTACAATGTAAATACAACATATTTACCCAAGTCATAATATTGAACATGAGGTAAATGTCTTTATAGTAACAGTACTTTCTTTTGTGAAATATTCTATTGATCTTTCCATCCCTGCAGTTGGTCTATTCATGGTGGGAAAGTATTAACACACGGTAGTACACACAAGAGCTTTGATCTCTGACGGAACCAGACTGACCCTGACAGGCATTTGAGCTTAAATACCAGTGTTTTTTTAAATGATATTTTTATATTCTAGTCTTATACTAAATGTTGGGATTTACAATGATACAGTATTTAAAGTGATGAAATATTGGAATTAGGGGATTATTGGCTTATAAACGGTTGAAGATCATGTCACAAATGTCTGTCACGCACTGAAAAGACTTAAGAGAATGTGACTTAAGTTTCTAATGTTTTTGTATACACCCCCTGCTGCCATGGTTTAAACTTAGGTGGGGTATGTATAATATACAATACCAGAGACATTTGGAGGTAAACCCTATTATCACTCTGCATTGAGTCAGGTGTGGGTTATATGCCAGGCCTCATCGTGGCATAGTAAAGCTACCTGTCAAAGAGGTTGTTGAGAGGAGCACAGGGGTGTGCTAACAGAGTCATCATAACAACAGCCTGAGCCAGGCTAGTTAAGAAACACAGGTTGGAAGGCTAGCTGGATTAAAAATCAGAACGCCTCTCAGTCCTGGAAAAGTTCAGGAATGTGCTGAGCGACATTTCTCCACTCCAGGGAAACAGAACCCCAACAGTGATCTGTTCATTAAGACTTTCCAGGCAGGTAGGCTGCTCTCTTCTTAGGCCCCAGAGACCCTTAACAGAAGTGTTCAGCGTTCTTAAGTGCTTTCCTTATAGCTTCGTTTGCCGTTAGGTTAAAGATGATGTGGATGGCAATGTCGTTTTCACAGCTCCTAAATGTAATGTGATTTCTAGAGGGAGATTTCTGTTGCAACAACTTACTTATTCTGTTTCTAGCCTCATTCAGTTCCTCTCCAATTCTTCTGGCCTCAGCTGACCTGCTCAAAAGAATGCAAACGTTAATAAGGCTATAGAGATTTGATGAATTGAATGTTGTATCAAACAATAAACATGCCAAATGCAACAAGATATTTTGTATTTTGCAGGCAATAAAGGCTTAAAATGTACTATCAGTTAAGTATTGCATAAAACATGCATTTCAAAAATATATCTGCATTATTGCTCTAAACACAATAACAGCTGCTAAGGTCTTAACGTTTTCTGATGCTTAGACAAAATCAACACATTTTTAAACCTGGCAGACTGCAAGTGCCTACAGTCTTACTGATGGCCTTACTGAGTAAAATGCCAGAGACTTAAAGAAACGCTTTAATTTGAATAGGTTCACTCAGGCATGTGGATGGGAAAAACGACCATTTAAAATGACCAAATTAAAGGCAGTTTTTCTGAGGTACAACAGTAAGGGTGATGAACAAATAAGGACATATTGTAGTTGCATGTAAATGATGCATGTATTTTGTCACCTGTTTCCTCTGTGATTTATGAGAAAATAGCATTGAGCAAGCTACAAATAAATACCACACATGACACTGCTCACACAACAGAACTGTACCCATGTATCCAAACTGTAACAACTTGTCCTTTTGGTCACTCACCTCTGTTTGAGCAGCTTCTTGTTATCTTCAATGGTCAGATGGTCCTCATGGTCTCTTACGAAGATCTCAAAGGCCTCTTGCTTTCCCATAGATAGCTGTGGACCTGAGAAAAAAAGATCCAGCACTGAGACAAGATGTTCCAATCATCAGAAGCCGTTCATAATTCATGGTATTCATTTTAGCGCTTCCCATCGTCAAAGCGCTTTACATTACATATATTAGACATGTCATATTTTGGGTGAAGTGTCTTGCCCAAAAACACAACGGCACGCTGACTGCAGTGAAGGTCAAGGTGGAATTACATTACATGTTACTTGTTAGACGCTTTTATCCAAAGCGACTTAAATACTCAACACTGTGGACAATCCCCACAGGAGCAGTTTGGGGTGAAGTGTCTCAGGGACACAACAACATGCTGACTGCAGTGGGGTTTGAACCTGTGCTCCCCTGATCCCAACACCAACGTACTAGTGCACTATGCCACAGCCTCCCTGAATTGAATCTGTGGGCACGAACGCACTTCGCCACAGCCGCCCCAAACATATTCATATCACCAGGTCCAAGTTGAAAACATGTGCTAAACCTACCATACAACATGCTATCAAAACAACACAAATACGTCTTCCAACTGAGGGAAGTTCTGTCGGTTCCTGCTGTGAGACTGAGCGTTCCCACATCCACAGGCAGCCAGATGCGAGCCAGAGCCCCTCTGATACAGCTGACCTCTCAACTATTACTAATTACAAAACTGAAAACTATTAGCCTGCCATTCACAGTTTAAAGAGAACATAAACACAAATATAAACAGCAATTCTAAGCATGTCAGCATTACATGGAGGATGCCCCACGGCCCAACATCACGTTGGCATCTTGCCACATGGAAGGGATATGCATCATTTTGCACATAACATCCTGCTGATTTTTTTCTTTAATAGGCTTGTTATAATATTTAATGAGCACATAAAGCATAATCTGCTTTCAGCAAACAAATAAAGCAAGGCACACAAGTTCACACAAAGGGTTTACATGTGAACATCAAATTAGTTGAAAGAGAATATGTTTTGCAGATGACTTACGATTGACATGATGTGAAAAAGGGAAAGGATGGTGTGTTCAACAATATCATATCTTTAAATGCAACAACATTTGATGAAAACCAGTGTAGACCTTTTTTACAGCATATACTCTGACATGGCATAGTAGCAAAAGCACAGGTATTAGAGTAACTATAATGGCATTAGGAGAGCAGAGACCTTCAAAAATGCAAATGGTGCCTTCTGTCACATCCTGGCCCTGGCTGATCGCCTCACTCCCTCACCTGGTGTGTTTTCCCTCCCTGTTAATCACCTGCCTGGTCTCAATGAGCCTCAGCTGTCCCTAATCTTCCCTCCTCCCCTGTGTATTTAGTCTGTGCTGTTGCCTTGGTCAGTGCCAGTTCGTCTTGTCTGTTTTACATGAAGTGCTCTAAGTGTAAGTGTAAGCTACAGTTCTAGCAGTTTGGTGTTTTTCCACCAACTTAGTTGGTTGTTTTCCGTTGCTTCAAGTCTGTTCATTTTGGTTCTTAACCTGTATTATTTTTGCCTTTTTGATTAAAGACTGAAACCTTTTTGCCTGGTTGTGCTTTTGAGTCCAATTTTCTTGCTGGTGCCAGTACCTGTGACTGATACCTTCTTGCACATTTTTGGATAGTCCCATTTGGGAAGTTGGTTGGGTGATTAGAGAGTCTTTCTTTCCACGTTGTTGTGTTGATGGGCTTTAATTTGTAATGTGACAACACAGGCCCTTCAAAGAAGATGTGTTGATCAGAAAGGAATGTTGTGTGTGGGAGACAAAACTCCCTCTGGAGGGAATTTAGGGATTGTAGCCCATTTACATGCACAAAAACCTGTAGAACATACCAAAAAAAAGGTAAGCCCCAAAAAGAATAACAGGGCCCCTTTAACATTATTTTATATATATTATTTAGCGGATACAAGCGGCCGAGATGGGTTTTCTCCGCAGGGTGGCTGGTGTCTCCCTTAGGGATAAGGTGAGAAGTTCGGTCATCAGGGAGGGACTCGGAGTTGAGCCGCTCCTCCTTCGCGTCGAAAGGAGCCAGTTGAGGTGGTTCGGGCACCTAGTTAGGATGCCACCTGGGCGCCTCCCTAGGGAGGTGTTCCAGGCACGTCCAGCTGGGAAGAGACCAAGGGGTAGACCTAGGACCAGGTGGAGGGATTATATCTCTTCGCTGGCCTGGGAGCGCCTTGGGATCCCCCAGTCAGAGCTGGTTGATGTCGCCAGGGAAAAGAAAGTTTGGGGCTCTCTGCTGGAACTGCTACCCCCGCGACCCGACCACGGATAAGCGGAAGAAGATGGATGGATGGATGGATGAATATTATTTAGCACAAATGCCCTATTAAGCAAGGTCAACAAAAGAAAAAGACAATTTGTTTATCCGCCCTGTGATTTGGACCGGGTCCAAAATTCAATGACTTTTTCCTCTGCCCATGCTACAAGCTTCCACCAAGTTTCATTACATTCTAGCAAGTATTTGCTTTGTTGTGGTACAAGAGGACATATCAATTGTATAAAGTCAGTGTTTCCAACAAACCAATGTTCTTTCCCCCCCCCCCCCTCTATGTATTCCCAGCATTATATTGCAACATTTTCCCATTAACCAAAGGTTCACAATGATTTCCATCTCGCACCCTTGTTCAAATGTGTGAATCGTTATTGACAAAGCTGTTCTATCAGAAGGCATACACAGGACAGTAACTCATGAGAGATTTATTGTAGGACAGTCAGGAATTGTGTTTCTTTATTTTTGGAAAGTCTTGATTGAAACCAGCAGGCATTTCACAAAAGTATGTTGAAATAACCAGCCTCAACAAATCAGTTTAAAGGGTTTCTTGAGAGATATGCACTCCATTCGACTCTTAAAGCGACATTCCAGGAATATCTGTGAATGATATGACATCATATCATGTTGTACTAACATCATTTGTGGGGTAACGAGATCATATGGACCTAAGGCCAAGTTTCCTAATTCTTCTTTTCCGTGCTTCAAGTGCTGACAAACCACATTGGTTTTTAAAGGGAGGAATGTGTTGTGACTATCAATGCCGTTTCAACACATTTTAGAAATAAAATACCGGCAAAATAAAGTTATACAGTACGGTTACTTGAATTTATTAAAAAAAAAGACAAATATTGGACACCAACTTCTATGTTTGTAGAAAAATGTACATGCTTATTAAAAAAATAAGAACATTTCTGGTTCCTATTGTGGGGAACAGAAGTATGACTTAAAGAGGTGTCTCTATTGTCTGAGGCTTCTGCTTAGATCACAGAAAAAGTGTGGAGGGCCTGGTAGAGTGATCAGTGTCTCATTACATGCTAGCAGGACTTGCAGTAAGATGTAAATCTTCCTTTAAGTCTCAGGTCTCCTTCGTCTTTTTTTGAGAGCTTAATGCAAGTCATCAGCAGCCTGAATTACAACAGGAACACCTTGTCCATCCATTAGAGAACTTTTAGCACTATAAAAACAATCTCAGGAGCGCAAGAAGAAGACACTGTGCTTTTGTACCGGTGGAAGAAGTCACTAGGAAAACTAAAAATGTTGTCATTTATGGTGAACAGACTGTAGTAGAAATCGTTTCTGTTTTATGAAAAACACAAAAGACAACCGGAAAAAAAAGAAAAAAATCTCTCTAATGTTCATGTTTTATTTTATGCTGGCAAAGTTTAGAGCCCAGTACAAAAGGATGTATTATGGGAAGACTAGCTGATTATATGCCATTCAATCAGCATGAATGGTTTCCATGGAAAGGTCATCATCATTACATTTACAGTTAATCTTCAGGGGACAGTAATTAAGCTTACCGTAACAGAAGAGGCTGTTGGCTACGGCGCCAGAGCCCCTCAGATTAAACCGAAATTAAAACATATATAAACATTCAGTGACCCATCGAGCATGAGGGGAGGATAAGTGAGGTGCATTTGTTTTGAATTAGGCCAGGATAAAGGACAATGATCTAATGCGCATATAGTTTGGTTATGAGTCTCCAACTGGGTCATGGAAAATAGGCCCTCCAGATGTGAAGCATATGATATAGTATATATCTATATATACATGCACGGCAATGTATAAAACAACTGGGGATTGTGTGTTTCAAATAAATTGCACATTCAGTTTTTTCTTTAGAGGAACTCAATATGTAATCATTGTAGTATTAACCGGAAGTTAAAGGAGCACTATTATGTTCATTTTCAGGTTCAAATTAGTATTATAAATGTGTATATATATTCTACTGTGACAATCAGAGCCCAGCCTGCTCTGATTGGTTAGCAGGCCAGCTTTGTTGTGATTGGTCAACCACTTAGAGATGTCACGGCTTAGAAAATCACGTTCTCAAATACTCTCTCTGGCATAAACTTTGGGATTTTAATATTTGTTGGCCATTTACATGCACACAAACCCATATAACACACTACAGGAAAAGGGAAAACCCTAAAAAGCATAAAAGGGCCTCCTTAAAGAAATCAGCAGTATTACTCTTTGGGAAAGTCAGAAATGACTTAATTGCCAGAGGTGTGCTCTCTGATCCTCCTGGAACTGCTCAACGTGTTCTGAAAGTGTTTTCTTCCCAAAATGCAGACCATTTCTGGTCAACATCAAGCTTTGTCCTGTGTTCTGTTCACAGCGTTCGTTGCAAACAGAGCAGAAAAAGACAGACATTTCTCATGAAGTGTGAGAAAAGTACACAGACATTCCAGAGTGGACGTGTAAGTGGTAGCAAAGGACTGCAGGATGTGGGAATTTGTGAAAGGGTAGCACTTTTTTGCGCAAAAAAGTGGACAATTAATGTAGCGCCAATATTGTTGGCTAAGGTACCTATATAGTCATTGTATAGTGTGCGTGCAAGAAGGATGTAATGACTTCATGACTCCAATGTGATGTTGAAATTAGAAAAGCTATCAATGAAATCCAGTCTGCTCATAATCACATTTTTTGTATTTTCCAGTGTATCGCTCTTATCTTTACACGCAGCCCAGACACTAACTATTTAATGATCATGCTGAAGTGTTTGCTTTACATTTTTAGTAGGTGGGAAAAGAAAAAAC